TCAAAATTATAAATGAATTATCCAAGAAAGATATTTATGAATGTGTATATTGCTTAGGTACCTTGTTATATGTTGTCAATAGGTCCCATAAAGATTCCCGAAATCAACCCTATTTTGGTAAAGCCTCTAGCTATACTCACAGAGATCATCGGCATCGACTTCCTCTTCGGTGACGACAATCTTTGGCTTTAGTTTCCTCTTTGACGATATCGAGTGTCGCAATAGAACATAGAAAAATAAAACAATTAAACATTTTTAATAACTAAGGCAATTTAACAAATACATGGCGGTCTTGCTGAATTGAATACATGGTGGAAAAGAGCGAGCAAGAAAGAGAGAAAAAAAAAAGGCTATACAGGAAGAAGTTGAGAGAGATACTAGGGTGGGTCTGGTGGCTGGGTTTACGATGGGAGTGAGGTAAGTCAGGTGAGGAAAGTAGGTAAGAGTCAGGGCTATAGTGGTGCCAGTAGGGTTTGGGCAGTGTGGCAGAAGAGAAATATTAGGGGGGGAGGAAGAAAAGGGGTCAAGTGAAAAGGAGAGAGAGAACAGAGGTGCCCCTGTGGTCTATAATCCTATGTAGATCGCTTGCACGGAAAAGAAAGAGAGGGAGAAGTAGAGGTAGAGGAAGAGGATGGAGTAGAGAATTTTTTAAACCAAAAAGGATAGGAAAAATTGGGTGGATGGTGGAAGAGAGAGAACACGGAGAGTACATGCGGAACATAGTGAGAGATTTAGGCCAGTGAGGCACCACAGATTGAGAGATAGCAGATTCAGATATGAAAACTTCTACCCTATTGCCCACTACGCAGGATTACAGCAGGTATCGTGAGAATGGCGCCAGAGATTGAGAGATAACAGATTTAGATATGGAAACTTCTACCCCACTACGCAGGACCATAGTAGGTACCTCAGTCCTCTCTCTCGCTCTGGCTCTCTCTCCAGAGATTGAGAGATGGTAGATTGAGATATGGAAAATCCTCTACCCCACTGCCCACTATGTAGGACTGCAACAGGCACCTCTATCCTCTCTCTCTAGCTCTTTATCCTCACTTGGCCCCCCTCTTTCCCCTCCCCCCCACCAATATTTCTCTTCGACCCCACTGCCCAAACCTTACGAGCACTACCACAACCCTTACTTCTGACTCTTCTACCACTTTTTTCCGCCTGACTTAGCTCACTCCCACCCATAAACCCAACCAAGTATCTCTCTCGACTCTCTTCCCTCTATACACCTCTCTTCTCTCTCTTTCTCTTTCTTGTTCACTCTCTTCCACCATGTGTTCATTTCAACAAGAACACCATGTATTTATTAAATTGCCTTAGCCATTAAAAAGGTGTAATTATTTTATTTTTCTATGTTTTATCGCGACACTCAATGTCGTCGAAGAGAAAACCAAAGCCAAAGATCGTCGCCACCGAAAAGGAAGTCGAAACCGATGATCTTAGCTGAAGGCTTTACCAAAATGGGGTTGATTTCGAGAATCTTTATGGGACCTATTGGCAACATGTAATAAGGTACCTAAGTAATATACACATCATGGATATCCTCCTTGGGCAATTCATTTACGGTTTCAATTATATTTATTTATAATATTCACTTTCATACACATGAATTTACTTGATGTAATTTTTTTTTCAAGCCTTCAGAATCTTGTGAAAACTTAAATTATAAAATGTATCAATATTTATTTGGCGTAAGTTTGATATTTTATCAATTTATGAGTTAGAAAAAATAATTTGATATCTTTGTTATTTGTTATTAGGTAGACTTTGTTTTTGGTTGAGTCTTATTTTGATTTCTTAGGAGACTTAGGGTGCTTAGTTCTAATTGCTAATATTTAAATTAAAGAATTTTTTTGTGGACCACGTACTTTTTGGTAGTTTTGTTACTTTGGAAAGATTGTTTGTTGTTTGTGGTGATTTGATTTTTTGATTGTTAGTTATGTAACTCAACTTTACTTTAAACTTACAAGATAAGTGAGGTTGGTAAACAAGCACAGCAACAAAGTTTGAGAATTATCCAAGGTGTTATATATTTATTTGAGGTATGTTTAATATTTTTTTAATTTGTGAGTTGGAAAAGTTTTTTTTTTTGGTGTTTTTGTTATTTGCCATTGAGTAGTTTTTATTTTTGTTGGAATCTTTGTCGATTTCTTAGGAGGTTTGGGGTGCTTATTTGAGTTATGTCTTTTGTCAATTACTGGGTATTAGATAGTTTTCATTGTGTTCGATGAAGTGGGTTTTGATTATATGTTTTTTTATTAGTGGCACCCGAACTAGAGTTGGGGTTCACCTTTTTGGTTTTGCCCTTGATTAATTGGGCTTTTTTGTTTTCCAGTTGCTTTTTGATTACTCAATGACCATCTTTTATGTTTGTTTCCAGTGTCTTAATTGCCTTTTTTTGTACTATTTTATTTCCAGTTTCAAGGGACATTGTATTTGTGGAATGATCTTAGTTGCGCAAGAGATTATTTTTGGATGTTGATATGGTCCATCCATCACAACTGTGGGGTAAAGTCTTTCAGGCAATATTGATATGTACGATTTAAGTTGCTTGAGGTAGTAATTTGTGCTTGACTTTATTGATTTGATTTTCATTATTATATGTCTTATTTTATGGCTTATTCATAAAAAAATTTGGTCTTTAATGAATTTTAGTTTTTTCATTCATGCGATATAATAAAGTAGAGCTATTTTTGAATCCTAAAAACAACCAAAGACTCACATCATTTTAGGATAAAACAGCATTTCATGTACAATCATGTGAATTATATATCTAAAACTGCAAACAACAAAAACAAAACCAAAAAAACAATTATCTCACTATAATCACCACAATCACAACCAAAAACATAAAAACATTAGCTACTGCTCGTGCCTGAACGCACTTTGTAACACAACAAAATTGCCAAAATAAAAAACCAAACCCACAAAAATTAGCAGACGAGAAAAACTTTGGAAACGAAAAAAAATCATAGCACTCGCAATTACCAATTGAGTTAAACTTAATTGATCATAACATCAAATTGACTATGACATCAATTATTTCAACCCAAATAAATTTTCAAATAATAACTCCATACTCGCGACCATCACACTTACTCATTTCAATTAGTATAATATCACATATAAGAAAATTATTTGTACCAAATCCAATATTATTTTTCTTCATGGGACAATAAAAAATTCCAAGCAACAAAAAGATATATTCATTATGTGAAAAGAAAAAAAAAAAAAAAAACACTACAGCTCAAAGATGAAAAGGGGATTTAAAACTAACAGACTGTTATAAATTCTAGAACTAACGAACCCCAAACATACTTGAACCTAACTCCATATAAAAAAATATTAACATAACCACATCATTATTAAATAATATACGAACTGCTATGTAAGAGCACCCTGAGCTCACTGGCCATACATTAATTACTCTGGCCCAAGTTGAAGAGAGAGTAATAAGATTTGGCAGAGCAACCTATTAAAAAGTAAATAAGCAAGTGTATTAAGTATGTGCAAGAAGATTGAGTGTCCCATTAAGTATATACCATAATTACTTCGAGAAGGTAGATTATCATTAAGCATGTCATGCCCCATTAAAAATTGATTGATAAGTATATGTATTCGCTAGTACTATTTTTTTGTGTAACATGGTGGTGTGCATAAGAAGCAAGTGTTCAAGAGATCTCAACGTATCAAACAATATCAGGATCAAATAAATACTTAAAAGTGAAAATGCAAAGATATAAAGGTCAAACATAGATTCATCAACTAATAGATCATCGGCAATCAAAGGAAGCTTAATTGAATCAAAAGTGAAAAAAAAAATCATTAGGGACATGAGGACACCAAGTTAAGAAATCAAGAGCACCAAATTGAAATTAAAAAATCAAGAGCACAATCACAGGCACAAAGGGTACCCCCCTTTGTGCCATGAGAATCAATGTCCCAAGCCAATCACAGGTTGTTGCATCGTTGCTACCTCTCGCGCCCTCACTATTCGTTGACTTGTTTAAAAAAATGCATTCTTCAAAAAGACAAATATCCATGGGTAAGTATCAATAACCATTGTCAAACTTTACAACAATGTCATGGTTAAGCATGACTCACTCCACCAACTTCTCAAATTCAATAGCTTTATGTATATCAAATACTCTATATAATAATCACCACATTTTCAACCCATTGCTAACATTGCATACTTCTTCCAGAAATTTTAAAATGTCAGACCACGATCATCTTTCTTCTTAAGGAAATGATTACTACATGATGTTGGTGAAGAGAAACCCACACCCTCAAGAGAGTGTTGCCATCTTTATTGAGTCCAAGACATATCATTTGGAAAAAAAAAAGAGAGATCCCTAAAACACTATGCCCATGTATACATTCTAAAAAAACCCAAAACATAGGTGGAAAATATATTAGAACTTAATCAACTGAAATTTCACAAATAAATTTAATGAGTCTCTCAAAAAAAAAACTCCACAAATAGGGAGAGCTTCAAAGATAAAAGTACCCGTCACTAAGAACATAATTAGTAATCTATAATTGTCACTCTCATAACTATTATTATGCTATTTGTTCCTAAGTAAATACTTACAGCTTCTGCCACTATTTTTCACTTGTACGCACCAGCTTTACCAATATGATCCATAGAGACGGTTAACACTATAAACTATAGTTTTTAAACCTGGCCCGGACATAGACCCATAGAAGAGACCGGGTCAATGGGCTATTGGTGCAATTGTTGGGTCACTAGTCAAACCGATAATTTAACATAAAATATAAAAAATAATAACTAATGATAATGAATATGCTAAAATTGCAAACTCAATCATCTACCAGAATCCACACAGATGAAAATAATTAAAATCCATACTACAAATTGAATGTTCAACTTAGTTTGACTAGCAAAATGACCTCAAGACTCGTGTATGAGGATGGGTTTTCTTTTGGAATCTCAAAGACAAAGTCTAAACAGGGCATTAGTAAGAACCATAAGGTCAATACTTGATTGCACTCTCAGATCCAACTACCGTTAGCAGTGAAATAGCTGAGATCCTTGCTCTATGGAAAGCCAGTAAAGTCATACCAGGTTTTCTTATCTTAAGGAGAAACTTTTGGTCATTACAGGCTGGGTTGTTCAAAAGAACCATGAAAAGATACCTTGAGAATGAGAGTGATTGTGTGTGCTCAAATGAGGCTGGGTTGTCAGTACGTTTGCTCAAATGATGTTCCATGATATCCATATCCGTCGAAAAACTGCAATATCATAGCCAATAAAGTAAAAAATGACAATGCAAAAACTAGTAAGAAGCATGAAAAAATGATGAGTATATAATATAGCCCACAGAATTCAAGAATATATTGGATGGATGAGACTACAAACCAACACCATCAATCAATAATTTCACAGTAAAATGTGCTAATGTAGGATCAAAACCACTAAAAACTCAACAGCGATTGGAAAATAAGTTGCAATTCAACTCAATAACAATATCAATTTACAGCCTATGCATTTTTAATCGACTGTCATTTTATCCATACATTTTGAATCAAGAATCAAGTAACACAATATAAAACTCGCCGATAAGTACAGAATTATCAAAAAGGTAACTTACAGAAGAACAAAAGACAGACATAAGATTCAGTAGAGTCTAGAAAATATGGAACTACAAACAAAAATAACTGGCCAAAAAATTAAAAGCCATAATCATGACCCATACCGTGTTTTTAGACAGTTGGGATTGTCTCCGAGCAAAACCGTCTCAGCTTCCTATTGAGAGAAGAAAATAGAAATTAAACATATATATAAATGGGCGTATGAATTCATCCATAACACCACCAAATTTCACTAAATTTCACCAATAAATAATAAATAAGAAAAAGCATAAAATAACCACAATAGAAGTGAGATGTTCCACAGACATAGTTTAGGTGTAAATACAAGTACGGCAGATATGAAGTCAATAGAACTTACTTTTACTGCCGAGCTGAAGAGATGAAAGATTAGAGTCAAATGAGCCATGTAGATGGCATTTGATTAACGTTTTTAATTTAAAAAAGGAACTTGGTTCTGGTTTTTTTTTTGTGAAAATAAAAAATGGAAAAACATATTTGGTTTCTATTTTTGTTCAGAAAAAATGAAAATGGAAACAAAAAACCTGTTTGAAACTATTTTTATTGGTGTTGTAAATAATTACCTACTGCTATATCTATTATTAATTTACTAAAGACCAAAAAGTAGTAGCATACCTTCAAACATCCAACACCATTGATTTATATCCTACTCTGCATCATTACTTAAGCAAAATTCTACGAGACAATACTACTTATAACAAAAAAATACAAAACACAAAACAACAATACATTCATAACATGCAAACATTAAAATATGAATCCATATATAGTCTCATGGTAGATTCTGCCAGTATGAGCACAATTATGCTTATTACTTCCGAGTTGGTATTGACCCAGCCATATGAAACAACCCACATGGTTCAATCCACGTGGAAACCTGCTCATCCATTAAACTCCATAAGAATTGTCTCATTCCATGGGATCACGGTCCATTGATCTTAGTTGATTTAATCTCCATAATTGATAGACTAGCAATTTTCTCAAATGTCCTTATCAATTAGAGAATACCTAAGGGTACCACATATACAAACACAGTAAACTCCAACAAGATACTGGTGAATAATGTGCAACAGACCCAACTCATGTAAATAAAAAATGAGGACCACTGAACCATATGTTGCAAAGCAAAGAAACTATACCAATTGTGAAAGTAACATGTGACCTGCCAGGGATTACACAATTTTTGAATCGAGCAGCAAACAACAATCAGGAACTCCAATTTCACAAGGAACCAATATAAGCATAAGAGACTGTACTTATCCCTGGAAGTATGAAGTATTACATAATTTATCAGGCCAAATTTTTGCAAAGCAGTATGGTGGAGTGGATCATAGATCAAACAATCAGAAGAATAGCCACAGCTGTTGGCAAGAAGGATGTTAAAGTGTATTAGAATGAAGAGATTTTTGCTTTTCTGTTTTATTTGATCTCTATAGCTGTAAGCATTAATTTGACACAGATGATCTCCAAAAAGTTACCTGGAACGAGAATGATCTTATAGAGGATTTGAGTCCTGCAATTATCATTCGGGCAAGACATGAAACTTTTGTGTGTTCTTATCAAGAGAAGAGTATGATTTCAATTTTCATGAAACCAGCAACCATATAACGGAACCAAAAACCACCGACTAGATTTTACCACAAACAAAAAAATGAAAATTGCAAAGTCTGAGAAAAAAAAAATTTATACCATAATCAACTAAAAAGCAAAAACACATCTAGCACCAACCAAATCCATAAACATTGAACAAAAACAGAATTTCACGCAAATAAGATCAACGAGAGTCTTGGACTTCAATTTTGCATATGCAACAACTATCGAGGGCGGGCGAGTGACAAAGGATCGATCACCTGAAGACGAATTTCGGGATCCTATGATCGGGCAATACAGTCAGAAATTCCTGCAAAATTAGTAAAAAAATAGGTTACGGGTTCCACTGATGGGGTGTGCCTGTGTGACAGTGAAAGATAACATTGATAAAAACTGTTAAGGACTTGGCTAGGATTAGGGTTTCTAGAGGAGATAGACAGAGAGAGAGAGTTTCAGGTAATGAGATTTGGCGCTGAGAGGAGAATCGGGTAATGAGATTTGGAAACTAGCCGTTCGGGAGAGAGAGAGTACGAGGGTGAAAGAGAGATTTGAAGATGTTTAGATACGGGGCTGAGATAAGAAGGACATTGTGAAGTATGTAATTACATTCCCACCGTAAAAAGATATTCTCTTTATGTGAAAATTAAATTAAATATTACTCTTGAATTTTTCACATTACTTTCCTTAACTATTTAAATCATCTTAAACATAATCGCCCATCATCTTTTTTGATATAAATTGTCAACAGGACAAAATAAAAAAAAAATCAAATCGATTGGACTAATGTGAAACTAATCACATACATTACATTTTAAAGGGATAATATAAACAAATTTCATATTTGGGAGTGACTGGCAATTGACCATAAGTAAGTGAACTAAATCAATTTATTATAGTCCGACGCAAGTAAGTAAGATGAACCTAGTAAAGTGAATTTATAGCACTTCCTTCGAATTTAGCCAAAGATAGGCACATCATTGATACACAATTTTTTTATTAATAAACCATGTCACGAGTTTGTCTAAGCAATTCAATCATAATCGATGATGCACAAAATGATTTTGCACACCGTTTGTCAAGTGTAAATAATAAATATAAGAAATAATATAAAGAGATAGAGAGACACAAGCAATTTATAGTGATTTAGTCAACTCGACTTACGTCCAATTTTGAATGACTCTGATCGCTGGGTACTTTATTAACTCAAGGGTGTGGGGAACAGAGAATACAAGTTTTTTTGGGAGAGGAGAGAATCGTGCTCAGGTAAAAAGTGATGCCCCCAAGTGTTGATGGGCGCGTGCAATTTGTAATAGTCCCCTAACAGGTTGAGACTATTTTTCAGCAACGAAGCAACCATTTCGGTGGAGTTCACGACTTCTTCTCAATAGAGGAGGTGGTTGAGAAGTTCTCCATGAGATACGGTCAAAGATAAGGTGAGGGTGGACCGTTTTCTTTTGGGATGCAGGTAAGCCCCCATACTCTCCCTCTTGATGACGTGGCTAAGTAGAGTGTCTGACTAGTCTTGGACTATATTGGGCCTGTGGATCTTTAATAAGGTTGGGCTCCTCAATTAGGATTTGGACTTTTCTCATAGATTGGGTCATTTGGACTTGATCCATCAATAACTGCCCTGCTATAATCTAGGAATTATCTAGTGAAGAGTAATGTTACATGAACTTTAAAAGTAGATTTAAAAATTATACTCGATAATTATAACCATTGATTTCACTGTGAGTCCTAGCATTTATTGGGACTCACTACCTATTCAATTGTTGAGATTATCAAGTATAATTTTTAAGTCTACTTTTTAAGTTTATATAACATTACTCCCTAGTAAATGGTCTAAAACAAGTATTAAAAAGTTGTCGTGTATACCACTCAACGTATAACTTTCAAAAAAATATTATTTTTTTTATTTTGGAAGACTAAGAATTCGTATGCCTCCACTTTTCATCCAATAAAAACATTGAACAATGTTTTTTTAATCTAATTTATTGACATAATTTGCTAATATAATTCACTGTGATATTTGGATTCACTGTAAACTTCATCCAACATTAGAACTAGTTGTTGATTTAATGATTCTTATGAAATCATATCATTATGTCAACAATTATGTCAGATTTGTAAGTCCAAATAATATTACTTGAAAACATTATAAACGTAAAATTTATTTAATTTGACAATATATATATTCAAATTAAAATTGCATCATTAATGGTGAGTTTTGAATCTAAATCCCCTCCCTTTTTTTGATGACATGTCTGTAAAACTCGGTAAAAAAGAATTAGTATTATTATTATTAAAAATCTTAATTTAAGGGGTAAAATAATAATTAATCATTAAATTATAGGTAAAAAATGTAATTTAAAAAAAAATAAATTATACTATATATAAGTGGAAGACAAAGTCTTCCACTTTTCTTCTTCTAGTGTGCTGTCGAAAGAGTGAGAGAGAGAAAGGTGAGTATGGTTTTATTTTTTATTTTTTCTTCATTCTCAGATCTACAATGATTGACTTGTTTAATCGCTTCAGACTAAAAATTAAAGTTACTCTACTCAACGAGAGCTACGCAACCACACTAAATATCATATTTTTCTCCGAAAGAATATCAAAGACAATAATCTAGACCTAAAGTTTGAGAAATTAAATTGGACTTCCTTGTAGTTCCAATACGTGGGCTCACACTACGAGAGGTAGGGTTTCCCCTATTTAGATTTCCTTTCAACCTAAAATCTGACATATGAAATGGGTAGGTTATGGGTGTATATCATATGTTAGGTGTAACTTGTGGGTCAAATATATGATTTATTATATATTTTTAATTATAAAAATTATATTATGATTAACTTGGTGTAAGTTAATGTTAGTGGTTTAAAACATGTTAATTGTACATTAGCATTATTTTATGTTTTAAATGGTATATCAAGTTTAATGAAATTATTAGCTTGTTATGTGATTATGGAATAATATGTATGTTAAATGATTATTTAGTATATAATTATTGTGGCGGACTTGTGCTTATGTTTATAGAATTGATAAACATGTTGTCATGTTGAAAATGTCATTGTATTCTATTCTTTATGTAATGGACATTGTAAATGAGACCAAAGACAATTGCACATTGAAATGTCATTATGCATGAGGTACATTATATTCATTGGTATTGACATGGGTGAGAGTGTGTGCATAGGATGAAATCAATCACCACATAGGTGGTTGATTGTGGGTTTGAAAAAGTCGCACCAGGGTCCGGCTGAATCACATGAAAAATTAAACGGATAAACGTGTTAGGGATATCAAGAAGTGTTAGATTCTCCCTCGGGTGCAAGACCCGCTTACTTGATTTATACATTTTTCGGTGGTAAAATTTCAGAAAAGTGTAACGGCCAAAACGGAGCCGCAGGTGGGATGTCCTGAGAATCCGTTGATGGTTGGTATCCCATTGGTGTAATACTATAAATCATCTCACCACAAAACACAAGAAAATAAATTAATTAGTCATTGAGTGTACATAACACTAATAACGAGACTTAGAATGTCCGGATACATACGCATGATATTGTATGTGTTGTAGGAGCTCAGGATGAGGCTCGGTGTTGGTATTGTGTTCGTGAGTCTCATCTTATGGTATGACATAATTTATGGTGTTTGTTCATAATAGACATATTTGAATGATTGTATAAAATGATTGATGTATGTGACATTTCATATGTATTTAGGTTGAGAGGTATTCTCTATAGGAGTTACCCTATTGAACGTTGACTCACCCTTTATGGGAACATTTTTCAGGTATTCCACAAGCGTCCATCGAAGGCGAGGCCATGGGCCCGCTTTGACAACAGAGCCGGTCTATGGCTCTTCTTTTGAAATCGTAGTCCCTTGTTTATAATTATTTTTAGCCTTGTGTAATTTTTGTAACAAAAACTTATTTATATTTAAAAGGTATGTATAAGGGACTATTTTGAGACATTTATTCTTTTATTAATAAATGTACATAATGATGATGATTATAGTAGTATTCGATACTATACAATTGTGAATAGATGGATAGACGCAGTGTGGTCAATATTGTACAGGTTGCGTTTTGGATAGAGCTCCTCGTACAAAGGAGACTCTGCTCAAATTTTGTTAAGTTATGGATCTCGGTAAATGGGATATAACGACGTAGTTTTAAATTACATGATATCCACGGATATTCCGTGGGTTAATAAGTGATTAATCGGATAATTACAGACACAAGGATTTTGGGGTGTCACAATGTCAAAATAAAATCAACTATACTTCATGACCAAGGCTAATGCAAGGACTCAAGTATGCATGAAATCAATTTATCACGAGTTCCATTCAATTATGCCATGATACTGAAAGATATTTCGATTCTCAATTTACACCATCAAATATTAAAAATTTTAATTTACACACTCAATGTTATGAATTACTAATAATGTAGATATCCCCCAGATTGTTGTAAATTGAAACAGACGAGTTGCAAATGCTTCGGGTGTGAGTTTATATATAAATTCACATACTGTTGACACCTTTGGTGTGAGGGATCTACCTCCCCATTACCGGGGATATACCTCCCTCCAAGAGCAATCATCCCCATTACCGGGAATATCCCGCTCTCCATCAAAGGATTTCGGCTGACCTGTGGGGCAAACTCCCACAGTAGCCTTTACCTCTGTCCCACATCGGGGAAAGAGTCATCTCCCCACCCCCATATAAGCCGAAGCACCATATGAGAGCAGTACCCAAGTACCACAGTGTGCTACTTGGGTACTGCTCTCATATGGTGCTTCGGCTTATATGGGGGTGGGGAGACGACTCTTTCCCCGATGTGGGACAGAGGTAAAGGCTACTGTGGGGGTTTGCCCCGCAGGTCAGCCGAAATCCTTTGATGGAGAGCGGGATATCCCCAGTAATGGGGAGGATTGCTCTTGGAGGGAGGTATATCCCCGGTAATGGGGAGGTCGATCCCTCACATTTGGGTAAATTGCTTATAATATGATTAGTTTCTATCTTATTAATGAAATATGATTTTAAAACACAAAAACAGTGTCAATTAATCCCAGACGGAGATTTAGAGTAGTGGACATAACTCATTTTTGTGTTCGAATTACTTGAATTTCATATGTTTCAATTTATGATGAAAAATTGAACTATAATCTAAATCAAATTCACATTATTACAAATTCATAACATTGAAAGTGTAAATTGAGATTTTTAATATTTGAGAGTATAAATTAATAATCAAATTATATTTTTAAGGTGCAAAGTCAAATTAGTCCATAAAATAAAACAACCATACATCTATTCATATAACACATACATATACATAAGTCCCATACAATTTACGTATGTATAAAAGTGGAAGTGTTGTATGAGCGGCGGTGAGAGCTCAAAGGAGAGAGATAAATTGAGTTGTACTGTTTGAGAGAGAGAGAGCCAGAGCTTTTCGTGGTTTAAAAGAGGTGGATGAGTTTGCTTTCACCACCTTATGTAAGGACGGTAACGGCTAGGGTTTATTTCCTAATTTGGGTCTGTACTACTTGCAACCAAAGGAAGAACAGTACAAAATTTAATAAAAAAGTTTATTCGTGGACCAAATAAAAAATTGCCACTAAATATACAGCAGTGAATATTAAAATTAGCGACAAATTTAAAGTGTATTACCATGTTATCCAAATCATATTCATAGAATTGAAATAGGTGTTGGTCTCATGCAATGAATAAGATTTATATATTTTATTGGCTCTTCCTTAAACTTATCATTTAAGAATTAAATATTTATATAGGTTGCTTGGAAATTAAAAATATTATGAAAAATTATTATATATTAAAATTAATTTTATTTAAAAAATTAAAATAAATTGTTGTTAGTTAATAAGATAGCAAAACGTTTGTTACATGAAGTACAAATTAAGTTTTAGTTGAATGAATAAAAACAAATAAATTAAAATTTTAAAACATTAGAAAAGATGAGGAGATTTCTCAAGTCCCTCATTTCTTAATTTTATTACTGTATATTCATTTTCTTTTATAATCATAAATTGTAAACATAATAAAGCAAAATAAACTAATAATATATAAAAATTAGATTATTTTATTTTGGGTTAATTGCAAGTTGTACCCTAAAAGATAGTTAGACATTCAAATGATAAACTTGATTTTGAACTTTAGAGTATATTGAACCTATAAAATAAAAGGTAATATGAAATTATAAATTTTTATTAGGATAAAATCATATTTTTTAACAGTTAAATTAACAGATATCAACGAAAAGGAATTACGTGTTACACGTGCACAAACGTCATAAGATGTAAGAGTAATATTTTAAATGTGAAGGGGTCCAAATAATTAAGTGACAAGTATAAGAAGATTTAGGAATAATTTATCAATTTAGTTTTAAGTGCACATTAATACAAATTTATATATTTGAGAGTGTAAATTGAGATTTTTTATTTTTGGAGGTGCACATTGATACAAATTTTTATCTTTGAAGGTGCAAATTGAGATTTTTATCTTTGGGGGTGCACATTGATACAAATTTATATTTTTAAGGGTATAAATTAAAATTTTTGATATTTGAGAGTATAAATTGAGATTCGAATGATCTTTTAAGGTATAATTTACAATTAACCCTTTTATTTTAAATAATAAAAAATGAGATGCGGTAGTAACCTGATTTGACTCTTAACTCCAACACTACCTCTTATTGGCTCCTAAACCCCTATTAATCACAAAAACCCTTGCACCTCGGAAGAACCTAACAATGGCGGATCATGACTCCAAAGCAGAACAGAAGGTCATGACTAAGAAGAAGAAGCGAAAGCATAGAAGCGGAGAAGAAAGAGAATCTCAACAAGGACCTCCAAAAGCCTATCGTATTGATCCGTCGGAGAGAGAAATTGAGGAACGCAAAGCAGAGTCAGAAGTTGAGAGAGAAACAAGAGTGAAACTTGACCATGGGCATCCTTGGGGAAATCTGCAACTAATTTTATCACTTCAGGACAAAGATATTGATATTCAGAAGTTAGTGCTTCTATCTTTCTCTCTTACTTCATATATAAGCATAAAAACAGATGCTCTACATCGTTCTGTTGATGTTGCCTTCTTTCTCACACAAATACAAGCACATTGAGCCTGTTTTTATCGGTTGAATGGTAGCATAACACGTTCAGGCTGCTTCTGTCCGCTGAAAAATTGTTTGGAAAAGCAAGAAACGAGAAGAAACGACTCTTTTTCGGATCAGACGCTGAAAAATTTGCTTAAAAAATCAAAAGGAGTAAAGGACGACAGAATAAGAATCGAATTGAAGTTCTAAATTTTGAGTTTATTTACGGAGGACTGTTAAAACTAAAGTTTTCACTCCACGAATGCCGATACAAAAGATTGGCTTATGTTTTTGTTTCAGTGGATACAATTGGAGTACTTTTGAGAGTTCTTTTGTTTTTACTTGGACAATAGACCACTGTTATTTTGAATCTTACTTTGTTATATTGCCAAAAGCTGGTTGATTGGTGTTATTCTGTTTTTGATAAATAAGAGAACTTCCTTGCAGAAAAGTCGAATTGGCATTTGATTATGTGAAACTGAAAGCTAGCGAAGAAGAGGATGACAGCGGCCAAGTTCTAGAGACAGTTAACATTTCACGAGTAATTGTGTTCCTCAACAATTGGGTCCTGTCATTGTTGATTTCTTCAGAAAAGACAATTAGAGTTGAAGGAAATAAATTTGAGCCTAGCACCATTTGGTATTGCTTTGATTGCAGATGCTGGGAGATATTCAAGTTCTGCTTAGAGGAGTCTTTGAAAATGCATATTTCATTGAGCTTCTCAAAGGACTTGTTACGTGTTATTCACTGCATTGCAAAAGATGCATTGTACCAACTGAATCACGTGTCCCAGCATTTTGAGACGTCAGTTTGTAGTGGTGACAGGTTTGAACTGCACAGTATCGTTCTTGATTGCATTTCTTTGGTTTTCACATCCCATGGTGGGGTTTCAAATGAAAATTTGGACTTATGGATTTCGACTATTGGTACACTTCTTGAGCTTATCCATAAAATACTAAGTGACAAGCTTGTTGGTGGTAAGGTTGGTATGTTTGTCCTGCGGTTGTCTTGTATTATGCTTGAACCATTTGCAAGGTTTTTGAGGGTCCATCCAGCTCGGAAAAATGGTTTCCGCGATTTCATAGATAAGCTGCTTGAGCCTCTGCTGAATCTGTTGGATGTGATAAATATTTATGTTTCTGGCAAATGCCCCGAGTGGACAAGAAATCTATTGAATTTGGTTGAAGTTGTTCTGTCTCAGGGTTGTTCCACCCAGCTCACATTGATGGGTTTTTGAGCTTACAAAGTTTGAATAAGTATAAAACCTCCGATGATGGAAAACCACATGACTTCAAAGTGATCATTAAAAGTTATCATAGACACCTGTTTGATAAGTTGGAAAAAATTATAGCTGGGAAAAATGCACTGGCGTGGGGTGGTTTAGGGGTGCTCTTTCGTTTGTTAGTTAACTGTGTTCAGAAGGAAAAGGGACTTTCAGTCAGAGGAGAAAGTTCTAGGCCCTTGGAAGACGATTCTAGCGGGCATATGTTCAATAGATCCTCTGGAAGCAGTATTGTGGTTTCAGAGAAGAGCCATTGCTCGAGTGGCATGAATGCAGAAACACAGAAGTTGTCCTTTAATTTCTTTGTGCAGATTGTGGAGCCTCTTTTATTGAAAATTAATACTTATAGTCAAGCAAAACTAGAATTTGGACCTTCTTTGTTGGAAATGCATTGTGCACTCAAAGCTACCAACAATATACTTGCCAGCTTTATCCATGAAAATGTATACATACGAATGGAGGATACGTCCGAAGGAGCTTGTGTTAATTTCCTGAGGGTGGTTTATGATATGACTATGTCAGTTTCTGCCAAAACTATTGAACTATGGCCATCAAATTTTGTTTCAAATGAAGGAACATATAAGGAGGCTTTGCATCTAATAGCCAGGGAGCTTATTGTTGTTCTACGTTGCTTACTGGAAATTGACTATGAGGTTTTTGAGGATGATCTGGAGACCTTATGGATTATGATCTTCTCATATGCGACTCATGGCCTGTCTTTGGCTGATGGACCTGATGAGTCCTTGTTAACTTCAAATACAATTCACCTTGGATGTCAGCTGGTTAATCTCTACAGTGAACTTCGACAGGTTAGTGGAGTTTTTATACAGTCTGATTCCATGTGGCTGCTCATTACATTTCATTAATTTTTTGGAGTTTAACACCATTTGGTTTAAATTTTTAATTATGGTTTCAAATTTTGTTGTCTTTGAATTTAAAATTGACACCCTTATGCCCTCCTAATTATTGGGTGGTTTCATTTGCACTAATATGCGCTTGATTCCTTTGCAACAAGATTTGCTTTATATCTTTCAGTTGATCCATCAGACAACTATTTGGGATGGTACACCACCCTCCCTCGAGTCCTTCAGTCCTTCCCCTATAGGTCATCCCCCCAACCCACCACACACACACACAAAAAAAAAAAAAAAAAAAAATTCAGAAGTAGGGCTTTTCCCTTCAGTCCAAGGAACAAATTTTCAGGTGCTATTCTTTTTGCGAGGCTCCTCTTCAACTGCATCATTTCTCCATTACAAGAATGTTTCTCTTGTCACAAAGCAATAGCAAGAACAAAATTGGAATCAGAGCAGGAGAAGCAAGCAATATCAAAGAGAAAGGGAAATTTTGGTTCCATAATGGAAATTTTGTCTGTGTCCTTTTTTCTTTTTTTAAACTAATGGATGCAAGCTACCCTAGGCTCTATTTGGGACATGTAATTTTAGTGGATGCATTGTGTGTGGTTTTCTTTTCTTTTTCTTTCTTTTAAACTAATAGATGCAAGCTACCCTTAGCTCTATTTTGGGATTCATTTTTGGATCAGATAATATTCATGTCAGAATCTTACACATTGAACTAATGTAGGTGAATAATATTATTTTTGCGCTATGCAACGCAGTGAGGCGTCTGGCATTACCTATCAGGAATGGTGAAACATGTACACCTCAGTACCCTTATGTAGCATATGCAGAATCACTGAGAACGGTATTATGCTCACTTGAATTGAGGCTGTCCATTTATAATGCTATTAGATCTATACCGGAAGGTCAAGCGAGTGGATTCATTCGCCAGTTAACATCAGATATTTCAGAATCCCTGGAATGGATGAAAGGTAAGTGTTCATTGGCTGCTGGAAACGAAGATTTGAAACCATCTGTAAGTAGTTATAGCTTGCCATGTAACAATTTGCAAGCAGAACTTCTGGGAAGAGCTCTGTCTGAAGTGTATATCGTAATTTTGGATTCAATGATTGTCACCACCGGCAATAGTAATCTTGTCAGTGTTGCAGTGAAGGATCTGATGGCAGTGATTCGTCCTAGTATGAGTAGTCTGGTTGCACTGGAGCCCGATAGTGTTACCAAGTTCTTGTTTATGGTTATAGGAAGAACTTACAATCAGGGGACTGGAGTCAAATTTGATTTTCAGTCCACTCACTGGATTTTTATATTCTTCTTTCGGCTCTACATGTCCTGCAGAAGCTTATACCGGCAAACAATCAGTCTTGTGGCCCCAGATACATCCAAAAAGATGTCAGAAATTATCGGTGATACATTAACAGCATACTCTGGAAGGGATTGGTTGGAGAGGACTGTTTGGGCTGATAAAGGTTATTTCTCTTGGATTATCCAACCTTCAGCTTCTCTTCTTACCGTTATACAAGCCGTTTCAGACATCTATCTTCACGACCCTGTTGCAGATTGCTCCCCCCTAATATATGTATTGAATGTCATGGCTCTCCAGAGGCTTGTCGATTTGAATAGACTGATAAAATCATTTGAATATTTGCTGCGGAGGAATACTCATCTTGTTCAGACAAAATCAACAGACGACGCTGAGTTGTCAATGCATCTTAAGAAAGGTAGAAAGTGGGAAAGGTGTGTCTCAAATCTGAGGCAAGAGGCGACAGGTCTGACCAATTTCATGATGGAGTACCTCCCGTTAGTGGCTAAAGATGCATGGGATTTTAGTTTTGGTTCAGTTAATGAAAAGTCATTGACTTCTGCCATCTGGTGGATTCTTTGTCAAAATCTTGATGTTTGGTTCACTCATGTTTCGAAGAAAAAGTTGAAGATGTTCCTCTCAGTTTTAATCCAGAATTCTCTTCCCTGTTTGAGCAGTGGTTTGGAGGACTTAGGAAAGCATAACATCAGTAAACATGGTCATCTGAAGAAAGTCACTGCACATCAAATCTCATTGGAACTTCTGAGCAACACTCTTCTATATGAACAAAGAGTAAGATGATACAGTGGTTTCAACTTCAAACATATGCAAACTCTTTTTATTTTTGTGCCTATGGACACCCTAAGTTCGTGTGCATCATGCACTACTGGAGTTTTGCAGTGAAACAATTCAGTATATCTCAACCTCAACCTCTCTTGTTTATTGTTTTCTGCTATATTAGTCTAGCATCCATTGGTTTTCTCACTATACGTTGTTCTGGTTTGTTCGCATGCATATGGCATCAAGGTTTTGTTTATTGTTTTATGCTATCTTATCCTATCGCCATTTGGTTTCCTCACTATATGTTGTACTAGTTTGTTCGCAGGCATATGGCATCAAGGTTTTGCCGAATTTTGGAGAAATCAGTGTTATCAATATTTTCTAATTCCAGAGAGGTGGATTTATATTTGATGCCTGATTGGCCAGAGGTTTTAACTGCATTTGAAAATTCATTGGCCGTTGTTTCAGAAAGGATAGATGCTATGGATGGCTTGGCTTCAGGTGCAGAGGTGATTTCTCGTTCATCTAGTTTCCTACCACTGGAGATTCACACGAAACGAGAGTCATTGCCTTCAAATGACATGGATTTTGTCACATGTCAGAGTCTTCTCAGCTTTTTGTGTTGGATGCCAAAAGCGTATCTAAGTTCTAAGTCGTTCACACTTTATGCAACTTGTATTCTAAATCTTGAAAGGTACCCCACTTCTCACATGCATGTATATATTGCCCCAGCCATATTTTGAAGCAGATTTTTGCATATTTAATTAGTGAATGGTAAATTTATTACTTTTAATTTTTTTCATACGTCAGACTTATGATATGCATTAGAAATTTTCCGTTATATGATTCACGTCTTTTTGATTGAGGACGAGAAGTACAATGAAATTAATTTAAATGGTTGTTCTTCAATATGCACCTCAAATCATTGTCATAATAGAACAGAAGTGAAATGAACCCCTCCTTTTTTTTCTTCCTTTTTATTTTTTGGTTGCAAACATTTTCTGTAACTATTCACATCTGCTTACTTGCTCAATAGAACCCTTGGTCTACCATTTTACTCTACCTATAGTCATTTTCTGTTTGATCGTAAAGTTGTCATATCCTCTTATTACTACATCATTCAAAGTTAGTTTCGGTTTGTCTCTTCCTCTTGCATTCCATTGATAGGTATTATATCACTATAGGTTCATGGTCATCATGGATCTGAGAAGTTTGGTACTGACTGTCACTTACCTAACACAATTCTCCTCCTTTTCGTGTGCTTAGGACTCACTTTTTGAAAGATGGGGCACTAAACCTGATACAAGCGGAGTTAAATGCTTATTTGCTACTTAGTTTAATTCCCCAAACCGCCTTCAAAAGATTGTAGGTTAAATTTGCTAGGATTCAATGAACACTCTATGTTAATGTTTGAAAGAAACAAGTGCAAGCGGAGTAATAGTTATGACCTGTATTCTAGTTCCAGGTTTACTTTGAACATATATTAGTTGGAAGCCATTTGGTAATGCAACTGGACTAAGTGAAAGGGAATGAAACCTGATGTACAAGTGAGGTATACAAGTCAGCCGTCCCACTGTAGGCTGCATGCAGAATGTTTGCACAATATATGGATGGTGCTGAGTTGTTGAATTTGGCTGCCCGCATTGGCATGGGCTTTGTCACGATTCAGCTAGATGAACCCTGTTACAGATGGATTGGGAATATTCTAGATATCCTTCTAGGTTTGTGTGTAGGTAAATAAGGATAAAGGTTTTATGAAATCTTTTAAGTTGGTGATTCGGACTCTTTACGCTTCATTATGAAATAATTCGTTAAGCATTTTCTGTTTGTCTAACATGATTCTGTAATGGTTATTCTGGTATAAGGATGAGCGGTTTGCTGCTGCTTTACATTGATAGCTGTACATGTGGGAGAATCGTAGAGAAGGCAGGGGCTTCTGTTGGGTTCAGTAAGATGGAAAACTGCATTTTTTGTTTATGTAAGGGCTTGATTTGTAGAATCCAAAGGGATAAGGTACATTACCTTGAAGATTTTATCCTCCTGCTTGCAGCTTATATTCCTACTGAAGAGGAGATGCAAACTAGATGAAAGTAGTGGGTGGTTTTGCACTCTAAGGTGAGGTTGGGTACATGGAAAAGTTAGTCCAGTTAAAAGGAAGAAGAAAGATGGTTGAAAAAGAAGATAGTATCAAGCTAGCAAAGTGGTAGCATTGAGCCATATGTGATGCTTTAGTGCAGTTGGGATGTTTGATAACTCTACGGACGAGTGTCATGGTGAGGGGCAGGTGGCAATAAAGGTACAACTATAAACGGCAAAGTGATTTAGAGGGAGTAGAGAGAGAATACTTGAAAACTTCAACTAATGAAAAATATGTGTCGGATTATAATAGTTTGGGTGGTTATCATGTTTGAGTTTTTAATAATTTCATGGATTGTCAATATCATTTATTTTTTGGGTCATTAAATTTTGTCTAATATCTTGTGTATACCATAATTGTTTTAGATGAATAGTATCAAGGGACAAATTAAGAAAGCAAATAAAGGTTTTAAATTTAGATAAGGTAGATCTTTATATACAGTAGTATACTGTAAAATATATTACATCATGCAATTTTTGGCATCCCACCATTGATGCTCTCTTCCCCCTGCTTGTAACTAGGTACCGAATCAGCAGTTCTTATGTTTGAAGTTAACACTGCGCTGGTAATAAATGCTACATGCACATGCTAGCCTCACTCATTAGGGAAAATATAGTCATCCATGAAGGGACACTTGGACAGAATAAAAATTTAAGTTTCACAGCCCTCTCTTCGCTGAATTTGCTAGAGGAATTAACTGTTGACTTGCACATCATCCTGTCATCATAGTTGTGAATATTCTTTAAATTGTGGGACATGATATATTGCACGGTTAATTTTGCCTTTTTGACTCTGAAGTTTTCTTCTGTAGCATGCATTTCTCTCGATACATATATTATTGATTGATGTGCAAGTGGTCCTGTTTGTTTCAGGCTTGTACTTGGGAGCTTATTAGATTTGCATGGTGCTTCACATTCACATTATCATTATGATCTCTTCAGATTGTTTGTATCCTGTCGGAGGGCCCTAAAAAATTTAACAGTGGCATCTTGTGAGGAGAAGATGGAAGCTAGTCAATTCTCTCTTTCTTGCATACTGTTTGAGAGTCCATATCCTGTTTTATGGCTTTTGAAGTCAATGTCTGCAGTTATTAGGTGTCAATGTGTATTTTCAGAAGATAATGCCACCAAAGTGAAAGATATGATTTTCTCGTTGGTAGATCACACAGCATATTTGTTTTTGACATTAAGCAAAGACAAATTTGTGCGTGCAATTCACTCGCATATTTTATATGGAAAACTTTGTGAGGAAAAGTCCAGTTCTGTTATTGCCCAAGAAAGGTGTGATGGTATTGAAGATGATCCATATTTGAATTCTGGTGAAGATATAGATGCACGGAGAAGTGTGGTCCTTGTGGCTGAGACTTTAAAGGAACAGGTGCAAAACATACTTGTGTCTCTAAAGGAAGTCATCTGTGATGAAAAAAAGGAACCTTTTACTGGTGTTCAGGAATATACTTCCTTGTCAACTATTATTTCCTGCTTGCAAGGCTTTTTGTGGGGGCTAGCATCTGCCTTGGACAATGTAGATGCACCAAGGTTTAATGTTAAAATAAAATTCTCAAGATGGAAATTTGAACCTCTCCATGAAGTCAACCTTTGCCTGGATACAGTTGCAGATTTTATAAATTATTCCTTGCGAGCGTTGCTTGTTGAGGATGATCAGTGTCCTAATCGTTTATCATATGATGAAACTCTTCCCACGTCAGAGTGCAGTGATGATTTTTTGGGGTGGAGCAGACTTCACTTAAAGGTTTTGCTGATTTTGATGATACTTTGCATGGGCAAGAGCAGCAGAATTGTGGAAATGCAAGGAACTTCTCCACAACAGCTGCTATAAAGGAGGACTCCAGTAAGAGTGTCTGGAAAAAAAAGTCTCATTCAGGAAATGCAGAAAGTATTTTGACCAAGGTTGATTTGTCTGAGCAACTATGTTTAAGGAAATCTTTATTGCAGGGTTTTTTGAGAGGTGAAGATCTTGAAGCAGCATTTTTTCTCAGACAACTATTTATTGCTTCTTCAGCAATTTTGAAGCTAAATTTGCAGACTAATCGTAATGCCTTGTCATCCAGCTTGATTTCTATTTTAATTGGCATTTCCCGAGTTTTGTTAGTGGAGTTTGCAAGCAAGGTTGAGGTGCCACAACCATTTTCTTTTGTTTGGTTAGATAGTGTTGTAATGTTTCTTGAAGAGTTGGGGAGTTACTTTCCATCATCCAATCCTACCTTGTCTAGAAATTTGTATGTCAAGTTGGTAGACTTACACTTAAGGGCTATAGGGAAATGCATCTCTTTACAGGGCAAAGGAGCTACTCTAACATCTCATGAGACAGAGTCAAGTACCAAGATGCTAAATGGTCAGATGGGATTATCTGAATGCAATATTTCCCAAGGGCCATACTTAGATGAATTTAAAGGCAGGTTGAGGATGTCATTCAAAGCTTTTTTGAAGAGACCATCAGAATTGCATCTATTTTCTGTAGTTCAGGCTATAGAGAGAGCCTTAGTAGGAATGCAGGAAGGCTGCATGATAAACTATGAACTACAAACTGGAAGTTCAGATGGGGGAAAGGTTTCCTCCACTGTTGCAGCTGGTATTGACTGCCTTGATTTGGTTCTTGAATTTGTTACAGGTAATAATAATCCATCAGTATGTAAGTAATAATGTCTGTTCTGACACCAAATGAGAATTATTGAACCTCATTGTCATCTTTTCTCCACTCTTCACTCTCCCCCCTTCTTCCTTGATCCTTTTATGACACAATGGAGAAATTTCACACATCTTTCTCTTTCTAGCAACTAAATGTCATTATCATTCAGTAGGCAGAGAGGTCATGACAAACAATGGACAATTGTTTGCCAAAAAAAAAAAAACTGAGTGCTCTCTCTCTCTCTCATATTCTTGAAATTCATCACTTCTGATTTACTGTATGTGTTTACAAGTCTAGTTACACAGATCCTTATTTGGTGAAGGCATCTTTGTTCTAATTGTTGAAGTGCTTTGTAGGACGCAAACGATTGAGTGTGGTGAAAACACACATCCAGAGCTTAGTGACGTGTCTGTTCAACATAATTCTGCACTTGCAGGGTCCAAAAATCTTCTATGGGAAAGCCAAAGGTAATAGAGGCGATGCTGATCCTGATCCGGGATCAGTCCTTCGTATGTGTGTCGAGGTACTGACCAGAGTTTTTGGAAAACATGCTCTGCTTCATACGGATACCTGCCATGTTGTGCAGTCCTTGCGTGTACCTGCAGCAATTTTTCAAAGCTTCCTCCAGCTTAGAATTTACGAATCTCCTGGTCGATCTGATTCTCCAAGGTTCTCAGATACTGAAGGCCCTGAGTCTGTAATAAGCAAGAATACATGTGTTGTGGATCGACAGTTTTCAATAGAGCTATATGATGCATGTTGCCGACTGTTGTGTACTGTTCTCAAGCATCACAAAAGGTATGCTGTCACCTCTTTGCTTTGTGGTCCGCCATAGCCATGCTTCATCTTGGTTGTGGTCTATTTATGTAGGATCTGTAGCCTTAGCCTTCTTTTGTCTTCTTCCCCACACTTGATATGATACTCTCTCTCTCTCCCTCCCTCTCCCTGTTTATTTATATGCATTTCTTTGGTTGTACTAATCTTGTTAATTTGCAGTGAGAGTCAACGCTGTGTTGCTATTCTTGAAGATTCAGTTTGCATTCTTCTTCGTTGTCTGGAGATGGTTAATATTGATCCAGTTGTCAGAAAAGGTTATTTTTCGTGGGAAGTACAAGAGGGAGTGAAATGTGCTTGCTTTCTCCGAAGAGTTTATGAAGAGGTGTGTGTGTGTGTTGTTTTAATGAATAAATTACAAGGGACATGCATTTCTTTGTTCATTCAGATAATGCATAAATTCATACTTACCAGAAAAAATAATTCTTAATTTGTTTCTTAGAATTTTGGTTTTCCTCTTTAGACATGACTGATGCGGCCTTGGGCTGCCCATTTCCAACAGTCAAGTTTCTGCCCATTTATGCCATCTGTTATAGTTTAGGTTGTACTGTTTGACATTCATGAGAGATGCTCAACTCACAGTTGGATGCAAAGGTAGATTCTTCCCCCTCCCCCTTCTCTCTCTCTCTCTCTCTCTCTCATGCAAGAGGTGATAAAATGCACAAAGCACCATTCTGATGTACACAACTGTGATGCCATTCATTTTTGGAGTATTTATATAACTCCTTTGGATAAGTCAGAATATACTTTTTAGTATGAGAGGAAAGAAGAATTGCATCATACAAATAATTTTGGGATGTGTCCCCAAATCATGGAGAGTTTTGTTTTCTAACCTTGTGATATTTCATTGATTTCCTCTCAAAAAGGCAAAATTAGTACTAGCGCCAGGCAAACAACCTTCTAATATGTGAATTATGAATATGATTTATATGTATGTTGGTCTGTCTACTTTGAGTCAAATAATAAGGTACTGGACATTTTTTGCCTTCCTCTAGTTTCATGACGGCCCAGGAGTTGCATCTACTGAGATCCATGAACATAAATGTCCATTTCTGGGTTTATTGTCTCTGGATGCAATGGCTACACGATGCGTCTATATGGAGCCTCAATTTTGTATTTCAATTAGATTGCTTGTGTTAAGTCTTTTTTATTTTCTCTTGAAGCATTATTGCGAATCAATTTATTGTCTTTCCAAATTTTGCAGATAAGGCAGCAGAAGGATGTCTTTGGGAGGAATTGCTTTCAGTTTTTATCCAATTACGTATCGATTTATTGTGGATATGGTCCAATTAAAACTGGCTTCAGAAGGTGGTGTCTATGACTTCATCTTCAACATTGATTCTCATTGTTCATGGCATATTATGATCCCTACCTGTATTCGTCTGGTCCAAATTTCATATTAGACCTCCTGCAATAAAATTGCTTATTTTAATTTGCAGGGAAATAGATGAAGCTTTGAGACCTGGTGTCTATGCCTTAATAGATGCTTGCTCAGCTGATGATCTTCAATATCTTCATACGGTATTTGGAGGTAAGCAATCTCAAGCTCATTGGGTACACAGGACTCGAAGGGCTTATTAATTCTTGCCTCACTCTTCTTATCTTATTCTTTTGTAGAGGGTCCCTGCAGAAGCACTCTGGCAACTTTACAACACGATTACAAACAGAATTTCCAGTACGGAGGAAAAGTCTGACCTTTCTTCTATTTCTATGGTGGGTTATTAGCAAAAATCTCTTTCGAGGAGAGAAAAGGAGATTTGGCAGTAATTAACAAGACAGCATGTCGTGGTCATAAAACCCCCAAGGAGCACATTGGTTGCAGTTCTTTGCATTGCTATCCATACAGAATTACAAGTAAGGCCTTTCCTGCTGATCATTATATTGTATTTGTCTCGGGACCCAAGTGGAGCTTTAAGTAACAAATCAAGTGAAGTGTGAAATATATTTATTCACCAGTTATCAAAAGGTGATAGGGTAGATTCGTATATTGTTGTAATCCTAATCTTTTGGCTTCGTTAGCGTCTTTTTGATTTTCGTTTTGTTTTCGGAAAATAGGATTTGGCTCAGGATTGCCCATTTTTATTTAGTGCAATCCTGTTTGATACAAAATGAAACTACCAAATTAATAGGAGTTCTCTTGAAAGTATGCCTAATGCATATGAATGTAAAATCCTCTTGTGCAACTTTACCTCTAATGCATATGGCGTTTGAGCTAGTCCCGGGATTTACTGTTTGTCCTCTATGTTCTTTTGCATTGACTTTGTATGTCACAGATGAATTGTTTCTGGTTCCTTTCGAGGCTAATCGAACAACTGTCTACTTGCGGACCAACATAAGAGTTTTGGTAGTTCCATTAAACGATTGGAATGAAGTGTTATAAGTGGCAAAAAACTACCAAAAAGGGTTCGGAAATTCATTTTCTTCCAAAGGTTTTTTTGTATGACTTGAAACATGCTTATATTCTGCAGGTTATTTTCTTGCTTATTTCTATAATCTTTTACTCTGTTCTTTAGACTGACGGCTAGTGAACTGATAATAATGACAAAGCGTCACAGATGCTTTTAGATATTTTGTTGATCCTAAGTACTTATTTTAATTTATATACAGTGTTGCTTCAGTACTGTTAATAACTGAATTGAGGGGTAATAAATGGTTCTCTAAGTCTCGTGATAGAAAGGTTGTTGATAGGGATGACAATTTTTGAAATGATGTAAAATCGATATGAAATTAGTAATAAGGTTGAAATTTTTTTGACACAAACTCATAAATGACCCGACTTGTTAACACAAATAATAAATAGGTCGGTTTAGTGTCAAACACGAATACCACAAAAATTGACTCGATTAATACGTATATTATAAGAATAAAATGTTAATTTTTTATTATTTTTTCTCAAGCATCGATGAAAATAAGTAGATGAGGTCGATATTAATTAAATAAGTTGAATTTAGATCGATTAAAAAAAAAGAAGATAGTGGATGAAGATATAATTATAAATCATAAACAAATTGACTAGGCTAGTGCGTGTTGTGCCCTCCCACTAGTGTGTCTCTAAAACTGTAAAAACCTTCAAAACAGCTGTTATTTTTAGATTTTTTTAATAATTATTAGAAATAATTCCTGCATGAAGACACGGTACAATATGAATTATTTTCAAAAAGATTATTAATAGTTGTTAGATGAGTTTATTTTAGATCTTCTTATGGATTTATTAAAATCTGTTCTGTTTTATATTATAGATTTTTTTGTCGTTCATTTAAGTAAGACTCATTATATATATATATATCCCATACTAAAGGCACTGTTCAACATAAAATCTAAAAATTAATTTCTATCCATAATTTTTTAAATAGAAAATGGATAATTTTTTTTGAAAATACATGACTTCAAAAAAATATAAACATGTGTATGAATGACAAATTATATTACGCTACAAATTAATTAAAAATTAAATGATTTAACTTGTAACATATGTACATTGTTGTATATGAATCATAAATTTTATTGAACCACAATTAATTAAAAAATTAAATAATTTAATTTATAATAAAAATGAGTGATGTGATTGGGATAAACGAAAAAAAATGTACGGAAATAAAATTCAAATGTGAATCCATTGCAAAGCGTTGAAATATGCGGTAGCCTGCCAATCAGACGCACCCTTGTGCTATAAATCTATTGGGCCTTCAATTCTCAACAACCTCTTGCATTGGTTTAACATTTACAATTATTGGCTTTCCCCTAAGTTTCACCACAAAGCACAACACCATTCATGACACACAGAAGAAGCACAGCCTCCTCTATCCTAGAGGTTTTTTCTCTGAATCCTCTTCCATACCCAGTTCTACTATTCTCGGCCGTGATCTTCATCTTCCTTGGCCTCCAATGGCACGTGTCCTACGACTCGATGGTCGAAACCACAGGAGAAAACATGGGTTGGCTACTTCTGGCCACACCAATTGGGTTGGTGTTCCTTGTGCGGTGGTTATCGGGTATGGAGAACCCGGAAAGGCTCTTTTGGATGTCTCCATACGAGCGTCGCAGGCGGGCGTACTACTACCGGTCGCCCGAGGGAAGCTCGCCGTGGGGCGTGGCAGCTTTGCTCTTGTTGGTACTTGTCCTGCTTCAATTCCAGTCTACCTTTCTTGATAGCTGGTTTGTATGATGCTTGAAAAGGTTGGATAATTATGTGTTTTGATGTGCTGTTTACGAGTGATATGTAATTATTAATAGAACCTATACTTTTCCCCTCTTTTGGATTAGATCAAAGTTAATTTGATGCTCATTTCATGTTGTAGTATATGGTAGAGGAGGTTGTTGTATATATATGGGGTTTGGAATTTTGTTTGAGGAAATTACTATAGGATGTTTATTTTTTGTTTTGTTTTCCTATAATTTTGACTTATTTAGAAATTGATTTAGAAAATTTTCCTAAAATATATTTTAGTAGTAATTGAAATCTACTTTTCAATGTCACAAGAATCAATCAGACACTAGGATAAAAAATTATGGTCAAAATACTAATTACTTTTTACCCAAATTCTCCCTAAATTATGTTTTAACCCCAGAATTATTCCAAACAATTTTCAAAGCTTGATAATTAGAATTTCCGTTAAAATTAACCATCAAACGATTAATTAAAATTCTCTAGGACAGTATGTGAAATTGTTTTTTTGTGCACCCGTGCATTTTAGTTTTCTTCTTCTTTTCCTTTGTCTAGAATAAACCATTTATTTCTCTCTCGTGTTTTTGTATATTAAACTTAGAATAATGTTATTGAGATTTAAATAATAGACATAATTTACTGATCTAATAATATAGCAATGCCATAGTTCAATAGTGTTATTTTGACCGTAATTTTTAAACTTTTTCATTGAAACTCTATCACTTAACACATCGTTGTGTCAACAAATTACGTCAGTTTTTTAGATTCCAATCTCTTAAAATTTCGCAGGAGACCAATCTCTGAAAATTTTTAAAATATAGGTTGATGTAACTCTCTTTTTAAGACTAAAGTGATATTCCATCAGCTGTTACATTTTACCCTGTAATTTTGATGGGGCAAAGTGTATGATTTCAAATCATATGAGGACGAAGTGTTAAGTGCCTAAACCTACTTAGATAAATTAGTATGGTTAGTATTAAGTAAGTATTAGTTCATTAATTTACATGGCATTGCTAGCTTGGTGGACTAGCAAAAATATTGTTTAAGCCCAGTATTTAGGAGTTAGTTTGGTGGAGTCCAAAAGCTGATCACTCATCTCTTTGTTTATTTGTCATGCTTTTATCTGATTACTTGAGTCAATCATTGACTCATTAAGCTAATCGACAGTTCACAGATATACAAATTGTATTTACTTTTTTATTTTTGCTTGAAACGGGATATTATCTCAACTGTGAATCCGTTGAACTCTATGGTACCTTGGATGTAAATAATCATTCACAAATTACACACATCGGTTAAACTCAATTGTTCTCTGCAGTTCGCCGTTAAACTTACGTTAAACCGTTAGGTTATGGGTTTGAATTTCACTGTCATTTATCTTGTAAAAGTTTAAAATAATGACCCAAAATAATAATAATAATAATAAAAAAGACAATGGGAATGTTAGTCTAGCTTTTAGTTAAGTAAGAGGCACGCATGACATTGTGGGGGACCAAGAAAGAGCTAGTTTGTGCAATTTTTAAAGGTTAGATTGTAACTATGCCTTAAAATCAATCATGGAGTTAATTATCCCTCTCAGATCCATATAACTAGGACTTTGTCTGCTGTGGTGGACCATATTAACATAACCCTCCAAACCTACCACTCCCTGCGTGGTCCAGTGGGGTTCAAGCCTGTGGCCCCATGTTACTACTACCCATGAAGGGCCATGGGCCCATGGAAATGGCAAAGAAAAAAAGCCATCACTGGCATCAGTGACCCCATGAAGAGCCATGGGCCCATGGAAATGGCAAAGTAAAAAAGCCATCACTGGCATCAGTGACCCCATGAAGAGCCATGGGCCCATGGAAATGGCAAAGTAAAAAAGCCATCACTGGCATCAGTGACCCCATGAAGAGACCCATGAAGCATATTTAAAGAGCCCAAAAAAGATTAAAATATAAGCCATACATACACATTGTACATTCACCTGTTTTTCAGGCATACATAACAAATCTGCATCACAATTTATTATAAAAACACTTTGATGTATAACGAAAAGTGGCAGATTTTATGGAGCAGGCAGACCGTGTGCAATAGAGGATAAAAAGGCAGTGGTAGAGACAAGATGGTTGTGTTTGTGACCAAAGTAACAACTAATTGTTCTAGTTATTTCTATGTCAATTCACTCAATGTAACAAATAACAGCATGCAATTATTATTCTATAATTAACTGATCTGATTTCCATAGAGTTGCAAACTACTTTGGTGAGCCTCCAGTTGGGGTGAATTTAGTGTCGCGTAGGTTGCTTTGAACCACTCACCAATGAAGTTTGACGTAAAGATGATCAATGGAATGGACACAATCAATAGGAGTCTCTCTCCCTCTGTGTGCGTATGTGACTGTGTGTGCATGAATGACCCATACAATTGGTGACAAGTTACATGCATCACCAAAACCAGGGACACCCAATGTTAGTCTCAGATATTCTAACAAGGAATTTAACCAAGGGCCGTAATTAATCATCGTACATCAATTGAACTCGACAAGTATTTTATTTCAGTCTTTGCCATTCAAATAGATGGAGCAATCAGTCCAAGAAAATACACTGATATCTTTCATGTATAAGGCAGGGGGAAAAGGAAACTGATCACAAGTCCCACCAAATAGAACTGGCTCACTTGCTGATTGCTTCCACCTGGGGTGATTCTCAGACCATTTATTTGCCCCAGGCCTAAACCAGCAAAAGTTATTAAGCAGCAACCTTCTTTGAGGTCACAGAATTAATAATGGTTGCAAACTCAGGACCCTGCAACACAGAATCAAAGTGTGTTCCATGATTTTCTCAGCCAATCATAACTAATTAGATGGTTCCTTACTTGTCTTATGTTCTATATAGTCTTTTCAAGTTTCACTTATTTCTAAAGTCGAGTGAGTTTACTGAAAATATTGCCCAATAGGGTTTTGTGTGTCGTAGTTGTATTGAAAACATATACTGAGGGAGGCGTAAAATAGGTATTCATTGAATGCACCCCTTACGTGTGATCTTCCTTGAGGACCAATGTAATAGCTTATTTTTTTATAAAGGTAAGCCACATTAAAGGTATTCCCTTAAGTCAATGAAGAATGGCCTCTCCCTGCCCTCCTCCTCCCTCTATGTAAATAATGTAATACATACAGCTAACTAACAATTAACTCACTTCAAAAAATGAATGAATCTTTCTATATGGCATTCACTAGCAGATGAGATGAGATGTCCCTAAAATGATTCAGTGATTTCTCTACACCATCATCATCTCACATGAGTTGAAAAGGCCATATTCGTAGGGACACCCACATTTTTTATGTAACAGATACTTCGGAGCCAGTGTACACTGGGTCTCGACTACTCAAGCAAAGCATGTAAACAAAATAATCAGCAGGTTGGATGATCAGATAGCACAAGCATCAAAAACTAAAGAGTAGTCTTGCATATAACCTTGAAACACGTCACAGATATATACACGCCACAACAAGGTCAAAATTGAAATTGAGTAATGTACTTGTATATCAGCAAGAGTGCATTTTAATAAACTGAAGCACAAGAAGCTTAGGCCATATCACATACTTACTGAATGAGAGAATTTGTAAGCAATAATAACTACACACCCATATTAAATAATAGTCATTGCATCTAAATGACATTACACATTGAAAGCAGAAGACAACTCATATTTTAGTCCTTGAGCATTTCACGTAATATTAACTCTGTGATTTACTCTGTGGCGTCTCTCGGCTTTGTACCACAATTCATTTGACGCCATTATCACTGCCATTGAGCTCAGCATTACCCAGGCTCATGATAATCTCAAGCCTGACCCTATTTTTATAAACAAAGGTGTGCATCACATTTAATTATGGATGATGATCACTTAGCTCACTAGTTTTCTTTTCCAACACACAGCATGCAATTTAGCTAAATCCGATACACAAATGGCATAATGAAAAGGAATCGTTGGTTTCTAACAAAGAAATTGCCGAGGGCGTAAGTTCCAGCAATCTCAACTCCACTAATACTATGTTCTTATCTTCTTGTCCATTTTGGGATCAAATATTGAGTCCTAATCGTTTGGCCAACAACTTAGATGACTGGTTAGTGGCCTTTCCATAATACACACGTTTCAAATTTTAGGAGCCAAGTAAGAAAGCCCGGACTAACCCCAGCTTTATTTAAATTTTAACTTTTAACTACTTCAATCTCACATGTAAATCTTACTTATAGGGCACATATCCTTATTTTAGCCCGCAAACCACACCAACGGGCCTTTGGTTCAATGGTACTCTTTACCTTGTGAAAACTTTGTCTTCTTGAGGTCAAGGGTTCAAATCTCCCTCTCTCTCCTCCCCCACAAAAAAAATAGAAAAATAAGAGCCAAGGGGGAACTCTTCAGATGACCTAGAAGCATCAAGTTCACATGAGTTTTGCATTCATACTTGACAATGGAATGCACCAAGCCAGAACCCTTGCCAATTCTTAAAGATAATTGGGATGATCCAAAACAAGAAGGAAAAAAAGGAACAGTAACTTCCAAAAAAATTGTGCACGTCGTGCTTTGATCATCATCCTCACAATATGAGTGAATGTAGTAGTACAAATAAAATGAAATTGCAGAAGCTAAAGAAACCTACCTACCAAAACTATACGTAAACAGAGGAAATTTGACAAGTCGCATGAATAACAAAGTAATAACATTGACAAAATAACTACCAACTGACAACAATAATAATTTGCGATTATCTAAGGACATACTTGGAAACCGGAAGTCCGTCCAGCTTCGGCAAAGAACGACTCACCGGAATGCACTGGAGGTCAAATCTGGCACTTTCACTGGAATGCGACTCATCATCATCAACTTTCGCACTGGCACAGGTTCATCAACTTTCACACCTCAACGCTTCATCATCATCATCAATTTTATTTGTGCATTCCGGTAAAATTTCGCACTGAAGGTGAAAGAATCAACGTCTAAATCCGTTGGAGGCGTTGATGATGAAGCATCGTTGTCTCTCTTGCGCTCACACTCTCCTCTCCTCTCTCTCTCTCTCTCTCCCCCTCTGTTTCGCCCCGACTACACTCTCTTTTAATTATATACTAGTTGAAGCACACGTGCGTTGCACGTGAATTATTTTAAATTATAATTTTGATAAGGAAAAAATTTAATTGATCAAATAAGAGTTACAAGTTTGGTTTACAAAAAGAGTTAAAAGATCAAAACATGTACAATACATACGAGCAAAAGTGTTGATCTCTTAGAATTGCAATTCAATTTTAAGCATACATAACAAAATGGCATGCCAATGTATATCAACCTATCTCCTTCTTATTGTTAGGGTGAGTGACATGCAATCTTTTACGACATGTTTTGCTTCACTCGCTTCGACTCCACCATCAAAAACTCCCTTCCACTTGTTTAACGTCTAGACTGCCTTTTCCCTCAAAGTACCTTTATATACCACCACCTTATTTTTCAACAAAGATTGTTGCTTGAATCAACATCTCTCAAGCATAGAGCCTATCGGTCATTCCAACACAATTCCATCCACTTTAACCCACGAACTCCTCCATTGCATCTAGAATCCGCAGACTATCACACTTTGAAATTACCTTGTCCAAATCCCTAATTGTTGTAATAGTTATTTAGATTTCAAAATCTAATATTATTAATTTTGCATGAAAAGTAAATTATCATCAATTGACAGTAAGCTAGCATACCCAAGAGATAACTTAATATATCTATCATTAAAACTAATATTTTACACTCCAAACATGCGCTACAACTACATGTCATAATACTATTGCTAGCACAACTTGATAGACGAAACTCCAATGGCACTCTCTAACCAAATCTAAGTTTAAAAAAATACCTACTCATTTAATTTTTTTCCCTACTACAATTGTGAACAAGTACACTCTACCGGTGAACCCTATCCAGATTTGTTGGAAAAAAACATAGTCAAATTCATTGTTTTGGATCTTAATAAAATAAAATAAAATGTCAAACAATAACCCTAATTTACTCTTTGGGCCTGCCAAATCAACAACTATTTTGCTTCTTATACACCCATGATTGACTATACATATATCCTTTGAATTAGAGTTATATACCAAAGTATGGATCCTCATATTAAAGTTTTATCTTCATTCTTTCAAATGCAATCATAACAAAGTATGGTTATAACATGTTTCATGATTAATTCAAAACATGATTGTAAGATCCACGGGAAAAAAAAACATAATTGTAACTTTATCCCCTTCTCCGTGGTTGTCACAATCTCTGACCGAAAAATCACAAATTCTTTTCTCGTCGCCAACATACAAACCTTAAAAGCCCAACAGGATCCATAAATCTTGAGCGGGTGAAGAGCATGCTTGTAGCACATTACATACAAGCAGACAATGAGATAGATAACAAGCTAGTTAAAAAAGTGAAATATTAAATGCAATTAGAATTGTTATTTAGAGAATACCCTGAGGAAGAGGAGAAGACTTTGTGATTGTACAACTGCCCTGAAGATGAGTAGGGAATTATAGAAGCTGAGACAATAATCTTTTTTAATGTGGTAGACTGGTAGTTATACCATTGCAATTACAATTAAAGAATTTTAGAATTATACAAATGACTTTAAATATTTGTTCAAGAGTATAACAGGTAAATAAAAGTTTTTTGGGTTAGTGTATTTTTAGTAGTAGAATAGATATAGATTATATTAACATTCAAGTTTATCAATTTAATATTTAATTTTATCAAATTAATATAATTTTTTAATTTAAATTAAATTAATATTTGATCTCATCAAATCAACATAAAATTTATATTTAATTTTATCAAATTAACATTCAATTATATTAATTTTATATTTTATTTTATCAAATTAATATTATCTATTTAATTCAACACTAAATTAGTATTTAATTTATTAAATCAACACCAAATTGACATTCAGTCTTATCAAATTAAAATTTAATTATAGTAAACTTCATTAATTTAACATTTAACCTTATAAAATTAATGTCATTTCTTTAATGTTAGATCAAATTAATCTTCAATTTAATCAAAAGTAACATTTAAATTTATTTATTTAACGTTAAATTTTATCAAATTAACACTAAATTAATATTTTATTTTATCAAGTTAACATCAAATTAATATTTAAATTTATCAAATTAAGACCAAAGTTATTCAATTAACATTAAATTTTATTAAATAATATTTAAATTTGATACGTAAAAAATGATCGGGTGACATTGTAGAGGACAGACGATAGGAGAGGAGTTAGAAATACGTAGGACTTTGACATTGACTTTATCGATTTATAATTTTTATTATAGAAAAAATATTTTTAATTATAAAAATTATAAAAACACGATTATACAACCAAATGAGTGGTAAAAACTCGATTGTAATTTTTATTATTATTTAAGCCCAATATTTAGGAATTAGTTTGGTGGAGTCCAAAAGTTGATATACTCCTCTCTTTGTTTATTTGTCATGCTCTTATCTGATTACTTGAGTAAATTATTAACAAGGTACTAATTACTTAAATTTTGAAGCTAAATCCTGACTCATCAAGCAATTCAGCAGTTAAAAGAATCCACAGATCATGCGAATTGAGCTCATGGTTGTAACGCATACCTCAAATGTAAATAATCAATCACAAATTGCACACATTGGTCAAACCCGACTACTCTATTTATTAGATCATTGAACCAATACCTCAAATGTTGTCATTCATAAATTACACACATGGGTTAAACCCGACTGCTCTACTTATTAGACCATTGAACCAATACATCAAATATAAATAATCATTCACAAAATACACACATTGGTTTAACCCGACTGCTCTACTTATTGGACCATTGAACCAATGGGAATGCCAAGATCCATATAACTGGGGACGAAACAGAAATATTCATCTATTTTTCAGTCATACATAACAAATCCATATTACAAATTATTGTAAAATACTTTAATGTAGAACAAAAAGTGACAAATTTTATGGAGTAGGCAAACCGTCGCACATTAAAAGTGCGACAGAGGACAAAAAGGCAATGGTGGAGACAAGATGGTTCTGAGTGCAAACTACTTTGGTGATCTGAGGACCAGTAAGAAACCAACACTAGAAGCTCCACCACCAAGATGGAAACACCCTCAGGTGAGCCCCCAGTTGGGAGGAATTTTTGGGTTCTTCCAGTTGAACCCAAAAATTGCACCACTCCCCAGTTAATAAGCTCGAATGCGTAAAGATGATCGATAGACTGGGCACCATCAATAGGTGTCACTCTCTCCCTTTGTGTGTGTGGCCCATACAATTGGGAACCAACAAAGAACTATAGGATTTCATAGGCCAAGATAATTGTCCACTTGAGACCTGAAATTAGTTTAAGATATTCTAACAAGGAATTTAACTAAGTGCTGCAATTAATTGTCGTACATCAATTGAACTCAACAAGTATTTTATTTCAGTCTTTGTCATTCAAATAGATGGAGCAATCAATCCAAGAAAATGCAGTGATGTTTTTCATGTATAAGGTAGGGGAAAAGGAAACTGATCAAAAATCCCACCAAATCGAACTGGCTCATCTGCCGTTGCTTCACCAGGGTGTGATTCTCAGAGCCATTTATTTGCCCCAGGCCTAAACCATCACAAGTTATCAAGCAGCAACCTTCTTTGAGGTCACAGAATTAGTAATGGTTGCAAACTCAGGACCTTGCACCACATAAAATCAACTTTAGTACAGTTCACCTTCTGCTTGCGGCCATCTTAGGATAGTGACAATGCAATACATACAACACGAAAAAGTTGAAAACAATTCCTATTTTTACATGCAACATTATTTTTATCCTTGCAACTTGTTGCATCTTCTGCCGTCTTACCAAACATGTATGATGCACTAGGCTACATGTTCAAAAATATAACCCCAAGGATGAGTGCACACCCCTTTGATTGAAAAAGAAAAAAGAAGCGTTTACAAAACCAGGTAAAAGATAATATACTCTGAGGAGAAGGGGTGATTAAGAGCAATTTATTTATTTATTTGTTTTATTTTGGGATTTTCAATTTTTTGTTTTATTTTTTTGGATGCGTGAGAAACTGAAAGTAATGAAGTTTTTTTTTTTCTTATTTTTGGGCTGTTGTGGTACTTCCTGAGTACATAGTTAAGCTCCTTAAGGCACATTTATTTTGCAACCAAAATTTTTTTTAACAGAAATTGTTATTGTAGTACAGTACATGAGGCAACAAAGAAACAGTGCTCAACAGGATATTGACATCAAAATAACAAATGGCAAGACAATACCTTTAAGGAAGCACCACCAACGAGTAATCCATCAATATCTTCTTGTTTTGCAAGTTCAGCACAGTTGCCCCCATTTACAGATCCTGCAGAAGAAACATGCATTCTAATGAGTAACTATGTGAGAAAGCAGTAAACCATTACCATAGAAAATCCTGGATCATTCAGCCAAACTGAACTGCTAAGGGCAGAGATGGTGAGCAGTAGCAACATTTTGCAAGCTCCAGCATTATGTTTTCATCAAAGCCACTTGTTCAATTTAGTGGTCAAATGGTCTTTGTTTCCAACACCTCAACAAAATGTACATAAGCCGGACACCATACTCTTTTTTTTTATCCCTGGCTAGTGACATTGCACAAGAATGTAAACATTCTTAACAGAGATCTAATACATACCATATTATGAAATTAATTCTTAAAAAGAGTGAAGGCTACGAGATTTTCTTTTTCTACAGATCTTGTTTTATAGTATTCCTAAGCTTGCAAAAGAATATTCATGTGATGGAACATAAAGAAAAGAAGCATGGAATACCTCCGTAGATAATCCGTGTCTTTGACGCAACTTCTGCAGAAACATTCTTTTTAAGCCAATCACGAACTGCTACATGAACTTCCTGAGCCTGCTCTGGTGTGGCCACTTGACCAGTTCCAATTGCCCATACCAGCTCATATGCAATGACGACATTATCCCAACTGGGTACAGCATCTGGACATTGGTGACATGAATTACTTAATTAGGGAAGAGAGAGAGCAAAGTTTAATTTCTCAATACATATCTAGTGAAAAATAAATGATTAAGAAATTTGCCTGCAAAAGCCTTCATTTGCTGAAAATAAACATCAAGGTTTTGGCAGCTTCTCTTTCTTGTAAAAGCTCTCCAATGCAGGCTATTAGTCCCAGATCCGGGCTCAAGGCGTAAGCAGCCTTCTTTCCTATAAACTGAATGTCACAGCACTTCAGTCAAATTAGGAAAATATAGCCATTATTCAGCATGAAACACAACCAACCAATCTAGGAGACCAACCCAATGACGTTTATAAATTTCCTCGCCTGTTTGGTATTATTTTCTTAAAATTCAGCCAAATGAAGTTGTTAGTTCAATTGTTTACCTGGTCATCTTCTCCAATTACATGTCTCCGTTCAGAATGTCCAAGAATAACCCACTTGCATCCAATATCCTTCAACTGTTCCACACTGTAAAATGGAAAGGTCTATTTGTTCATTCACGTGAGGCTACCAGACTTGCGTCATGTGCTAAAGTGCATACTCAGATCAAACAACAATATGAAAGAATAAAGGCAAAAACAATCGAAAGAATCCGGAATAGCCCACAAAACAGGTCCATCCAAAAATGAAAACCATGCAGTCAGTGTCACAGTCAAAATGACCACATTTATATGCAACATGCCAACTCTATTCCAAGCTAATGAGATACATAAAGCTAGCTTCCATGTTATCCTTCCTATCCATAGGCATGCATTAATGCAGGTTTTGCTTTTCCTTCAGCATGGCAAACAAATTTGTCTGGATGTGCGTACAATCACTAACCGCTGGAAACACTTCCTCAGCATAGTCTGTTGAACACACATTGTCATATTGAAGATGGGCCATCCAATCATCTCTGGAAGTATCCATGCTATATAACTTCAGGAAATCCCACCCTCAATCCTTAATTGTTGAAACTTCCACAATTGATGGGTTAAAACAATCAGCTGATCATTAACAACTGAATCAAAGTGTTCCATGATTTTCTCAACCAATCATAACTAATTAACTGATTCCTTACCTTATGTTCTATATAGTAAGTGTGATTTATTTCTAAAGTCGAGTGAGTTTAATGAAATATTGCCCAATGGGGTTTTGTGTGTCGTAGATGTATTGAAAACTTATATTGATGGAGGAGGCGTAAAATAAGTATTCATTGAATACACCCCTAACATGTGATTGGGAGGTCCATTCATGTGATTGTGTTTTGAGGACCAATTTAAAAGCTTATTTATTTCAGAATAAAGGTAAGCCGCATGAAAGGGACTCCCTTAAGTCATTAAACATTATCCTTAACAAAGAGTATTCTCCGAATTGGGTGCAATAGAGGGTTGCAAGTCATAAATATTGAGCCCATCAAGAATAAAGATGCTAACCTGATTTCTCTGGTAAAAGCCCCACCTTTTCCTGTCCATGAATTTTGAGCAGCTATATCAATCCTATCTGTTAATGAATTCTTGACTTGTTCAATGTAAACAAAGGGAGGAGCTATAACAACATCTGTAGAGGTCAAAGGATAGAATTAAGGTCAGAAAACTTCTGGATTCAAAATTGACTAAAGCGTAATCAGAAACTACTTTTGCAACTTCAAGAATAGCACGGTAAATTAAACGCATAACAGGTTAGAAGAAGACAAGAAGATCAATAAAATAAACAACGAGAATGGCCTCTCCTCCTCTCTTCTCTCTCTGTAAATCCTGGAATACATACTGTCGACTAATAAATAACTCACTTCAAAAAATGAATGAATCATCCTAATTGGCATTCACTAGCCGTAAGCCAATGAGATTATGATTCAGTGATTTCTCTTTACGCCATTATCATCTCACGTGAGTTTTAAAGGCTATACCTGTAGGGACAACCATATTTTTATATCACAGATACTTAGGAGCTAGTGTACTATGGGTCTCAACTCCTCAAGCAAAGCATGTAAACAAAATAATCAGCAGGTTGGATGATCAGATAGCACAAGCATCAAAAACAAAAGAGTAGTCTTGCCTATAAGCTTGAAATACTTCATAGATATATAGAAGCCAGCATAGCAAGGTCAAAACCCTCCTCCGAATTCGATTATTCTTCAGTTCTTCCTTTGCCAAGTGACACAGTCAAGTTACCAATACATACCATCAGTTGTGGGATCAAAGATTATTTCAAATGAAAAGGCAACACTTGCTAATCCAGAACACTTAAAAAACAAAAGAGACAAACCCATAGCTGAACACTAACTTTTTCTGTTTCGTATGAAAAGAATGTTACCCCCACATTACCACCTGTGAGAAGAAGCATATTAAGTTTTAGGGTGAGGAGACATGCTTCATCTTCTGGGCTTTTAAGCATATCAGCTTTCTGGATGTTTACATACAGATCTTTAATACCTGCAATGAGAAGTTAAAGCCTCTTAGAAACTTGAAGAAGTGATAAATAATTACAAGTGGAGCACTGAAGTCAACACTCGTAAGTTAAAATCAGATATTTGAATTATATATGAGTAGGCAATTATTAACTATGCGCGACATTTTTGGGCGAGATTCAAGTGGATGTTTTTCACAGGGCAAACCAAATTAACTATGTATTCCAAACTAAATCAATGGCTCAAAAAAACTGATCATGCCACAAGATATAAAAGAGTAATTGGATTATAAGATCAATCATCTTGCACAGATGACTCGATGTCAGAGTTACCTAAAACTTCACGTAGCTCTTTTGCAGTACAGGCCGCTTGTACTGATCCACGTCTTCCAACCAAATACACTTTCCTACAATCATATTTATGTATTTGAACACAATATATTAATGACCTAGCCAAAGAGATGCGTTTGGTATCAAGTGGGTGGATCACTCCTCCAGAGCATCCAAAACATGGAAGGCAATATCAGTTGTTGCCAATTCCATCGTTGGTCGTAAAAGGATGCGCGCAACATCAAGGGCTACATTGCCCTGAAAGCATTGATGTAAGATAGTCAGAACTAGTTCAGGATTGAAGTGTTTGACAGCATCAAAAACTGCTCTATTGGCATTAAAGGAAAAAAAACTCCATTTGTCGTTTAAGCATTATAACCAAGAAAATCGATCGATACATATTTATCTAGCATCATAAGAATCCCATCCACATAGAAAAATTGACTGATATCATATGCATTTGTGAAGACACCTGACCAAGAATAACAGCCGTATCGGTGCTCTTCAAGTTTGGAGCCAGATTTTTGCAGTCTAGGTGCCCATTATACCACCAAACAAATTCTCTGGCAGAGTGTATCCCAGCCAATCCTATAAAGAATACAGAGGTATAAGAAGCATAAAACCATAAAGTTTACAGATGGCATCATTAAGAATAACAAGTTTGTAGGACACTAATCCATAACAGTTAACAACGATGGCAATATAAGTTTACATATACATACTTCTCCAGGAATACGAAGAACTCTATCACTTTCAGCACCATAGGCAAGCACTACCTGTTCAATTGCGTGTATTTTTATCCCAACAAACAAAACATTAAATCAATAAATGAAATGCAAGTGCATATCTACAACAATAAATAATTCAACAGAACCATCTAATGTAGTTATCTTACCACATTATATATCTCCCGGAGCTCAGACAAGGATACGGAAGATCCAAGAGACACATTCCCAAAGAATGAACAGCGTTCATTTAGTGCAACACGTGAAAATTGATTGGTCACAACCTCTAGCAAGTTTTCTGGTAAACTAAGCTCAATTAAGAGGATTATTCAGGAAAAAACAGATAGACAAAAAGAATTTCAAAACACACAGCATTGCGAGTTTACAGAGTAATCATTAAAAGAATTGTGGGAGCATATCAACTTAGAACCATTAATGTTGGATGAACACAGATATGATAGGCGTGAGTTAAGTATCTCAGATTTTCTTTTTTCAGATTGCGATAAAATGTTCGGTAATTTCGTTGCAAGATGCATGATGCCCCACAACTTTTCAAGTGGATTAAAATAACTTGTGAACCCTCCTCAACCCCGTTATGCACGTTGGACCTTTGGTAGGATCAAAGAGAAAGAGAGAAAAAGTAGCTACCGGACAAAAGAAAGAATGACACACCTAAAGAGTAAAACACTTCATACAAGTGTTATCAAAATCAGACCGGACCGGTGAACTGAAACCTAAACCGGTCCGGTTCACTAAAAAGACCGCCGGAGAACTACCAAATTGGCCAGTTGCGGCCAAAATCAGTGAACCAAACGATCCTAAAACGGGCTGGTTTAAAACTTAATACCAGCCCCTTCGTATTTTCCATCTCTGATTCTTCAAGTTCTACCATTTGAAAAGCGGCCATAGGCCCACACCACAGATCTCGAACTCCTTTTCAGCCATTGATCTCCTCCTAAACTATGTAAGTCTTCTTCTCCTCTCTCTCCACGCAGACACACACCCACAGCCAGTGATACACACACATGTTGGGTCTTCTCTTTTCTCTCTCTCTATACACACGTGCGCACACACACACACGATCAATATACACTCGGTCAATACACACACTCAACAATCAAGACACATACGCACACAAATTATACACCACACACATAGTACACTTTGATCTTTATTGTACACTTTGATTTTTATTGTGCACTTTGATTTTTATTGTGATTGTGAATTTTCAACTAAATTATTATATTTTTTTTATTTTTTGTCCAGTTGATCCAACGGTTGAACCATTGACCCGGTTCATATCAAGTCCGATTTTAATAACTATGCTCCATACTACTGCAGTGGGACTAGATTCAAATCCTATGCCCCAAATTCCACGAACCAATTGAAATTAAACTTCCAAATCACATACCATTATGTGCCAACCATATATCTAAGAGTGCAGACATATAACTATATGATGGTATATTAGTGTTCATTGACACAGAGTTACAAATCCCATATCCTCATCCCCCACAACAATTATGCTTTAAAAGCCAAATTACCACTTTTTATATAACTAGAGTACCAATGAAACAAAAATCAGTGCCATTTTCCAAAAACAAAAAACAATGGTAAATAATTCTTTGAAGATTCACACATTTGTTTCGGGATGATCAAGTGCTATGCCAGATCGGACTAATCCATACGGAGTCGGCAATCTATCAATTATATCAAAATCCGCTCTTTCATGGGCCTTCAACATCTATAATTTTAATTCAAAAGGCACAAAACACATGTAAACATATAACGAAGAAAATAATATCATATAATTGAACATAACTTTAGGTTCACCAACAAATGATATACATAAAGAGAGAGAGAGAGATATATATATATATATATATATACATTTTCGACAATGTAGAAGCTAGCGGATCCGCTATATATATATATAATCACCCGCCTATGCTTGTTCTTTTTTTTTTTTTTCAACGGTTAGAGATATTTAGGTCAATTTATGTGCACTTCAATTAATATTCTCTATGGTTCAATTATCGGGACTAGAGTATTTATGAGGTATAAATCTCTTTTGTCCTAATCTCAAAAGATTACTAAGATTTAAATATAGAACATCTAGTTTACAATTCATCTCTATTACCACTAGAACTATCGTTATACTTCCCACCAATGCTTGTAACGTGCATGATGCATCCCTAATTTGAGGGGGCCAACACCCACATTTCTTTCATTACTACAACGAATTTATCTATTCAAGCAAATATATACCGTAAGTTCGAGTTTGAAAATCAATCTTTAAATCATAGGGTCGCACCAAATGACTAAAATAAATAATGCTTTGGCGTTAAATGGACATATATAAATAAGATCCCTTTAAAGCATTGTGCGTTATCATGTGTCAGGAATTCAAATAAAACTCATTATATATAAGTGAATCTTCACCAATATGTTCGGGGGATCTATTAGAGAGAAGTGTATAGAAGGGAATCTTAACCAGTCTAATAACACATTTGCAACCAAAATCATAGCACCATTGGTTACCACAGAGTCAACAGTAACAATCACTTCAGATTTTTCCCATATCAAAACAGCCACAAACTCCTACAGAAAAATAGTGCACAACTAATTGTCACATTTGCCCCTAATCAAAATTTCTTCATGATACGATTGAATTGGATCGACACCCCCAGCAAAGGGGAGTAGAAGGGAAATGATTCATTTCATGGCAAGTTCTTGTAGCTCCTCCCACGTTGTTAGTTTTTCTCTCTGCTTGTTTCTCAATCTTCCAAGCCTCTTCTCTTCAGTATCGATCTTTTCCCAGTCATTGAAGGAAACAACTCTCACATTCCTACTATCTAATAACTGGAGGAGTCCCTCTCTGCCGGGCTTTGACGATGTAGAGGTGGATGTTAACACACCTTTCTCAAGGTCTTCAGAGATGCTTGCAACCTGCCATGTTTCGCGGACAATTAGCCAAGCAAGCAATCGTGCTACACCTAAATATAGTAACTGCCCATAAATTATATTATCCATAATACAAGTACGCTTCTTCCATCACCAATGAAGGACAATATTCCATTCTCATCAAACAGATACTATGTGGAACTGCAAACAACCACTTACAGTTTCTTCAGCACAGTAGAGGTTCGTAGCAATGATCCCAGTTGGTCCTCTCTTCAACCAGCCACACACATACAAACCCTCAAATTGTGTAAGATTTCCCGAAGAATATTTCAGAACACGGCCTTTAACATTTGGAACTATGCCTGGAAAAGCAGCCATCAATGGATAATAAAACATTTAGCGATCTTGCGACACTATCATGATTTTCTGAATCACATAATTTTTTTTTTAAAATCCTAAAATGCAGTAAATTGGACACACTGATTTGAACAGGAAAAGCATGGGCCACAATAAGCCATGGAATTACTTAGTGAAATCTGATTACTGTACTGCTTCAAGTCTATAAGACATTTGTCCCTGGATATTATGTATATGCTTTTGCGTTAGGTTTTTAATCAAGTGCACTACAAGAAGAGTTTATAAGAGCAATAAACAGTAATGAGTGTAATACATTCTACAGCATTGATGTAGACTTAATTTGATATACCTTTGTGATGATCAAAGGGCAAACCATCAACTGGTACCGATTTGTAGCCTATGCTCTTCAGCACCAACCTGCAAACAGCCAGAGCACATGGCCACAATTAGTTAGTATCTAGTCCAAATAATCTGAATCAACCATTAAGAAGTCATGACTGAAAGGATTACCAAGAGTTTCTCGTTTTTTACAGTTGAGTTCACATTCAACTTATTCGGAAACTCGTGAAGGAGTGAAGAAAAGATGTAATTCAAATAATTCTATTTATTTTCCAAGTCAGTAAGAGACTGGCACAATGTTTCAAAAGAATTTACCCGCATTTAAGGTCTTCAAATTGTCCTGTACCAACAGCAATCTGTTTCCCAGAGTCACCATTTTCTACAAATGAGACCAATAACACCACATTAATTGCAAGGCACTAATGGATCCCCCCAATATGAAAATCCCTACTTTAGTCAAGTGCACCACTCTTACTCCCCCCACCCAATCCCCCTCATCAACATGTAGTTACAAGTTTTACAGAGTAAGTAGATATAGCCTTATAGGATTTCCATAGATAACCAATTTCTATTGTGGCATTATCTTTTTGTGGTAGGTATGGTGCTGATTTCACGGAGCCGAGACTTAAGGAGTCAAAAAAAGCAAGAAAATTACTTTCTGACCATGCAGAACCGTACCCAAACTTATATGCAGGAAGATTACCTCTGAGCATTGTCTTCTCGAAGTGCACACCAGCAACATGGCCTTTTCCCCTTTCTGAATCGAGAAACCTATCTGGTTTTTGAAAGAAAACAAAGTGGAGTTCACGTTGACCAGAAGTAGGATGGGATGGTCCCGAGGTGGCTTCCTTAGAGAGCAACTCATAAACCCTCCTCCGAATTCGATTATTCTTTAGTTCTTCCTTTGCCAAGTGACACAGTCATCAATTGTTGTGGATCAAGATTATTTCAAATGAAAAGGCAACACTTGCTAATCCAGAACACTTAAAAAACAAAAGAGACAAACTCATAGCTGAACACTAACTTTTTGTGTTTCCTATGAAAAAAAGGTTACCCCCATATTACTTCCTGTGAGAAGAAGCACATTAAGTTTTAGGGTGAGGAGACATACTTCATCTTTTGGGCTTTTAAGCAGATCAGCTTCGTGGATGTTTACATACAGGTCTTTAACAGCTGCAATGAGAAGTTAAAGCCTCTTAGAAACTTGAAGAAGTGATAAATAATTACAAATGGAGCACTGAAGCGTTAAGTCAAAATCAGATATTTGAATTATATATGAGTAGGCAATTATTAACTATGTGCGGTATTTTTGGGTGATATTCAAGTGGATGTTTTTCACAGGGCAAAGCAAAATAACTATGTATTCCAAACTAAATCAATAGCTCAAAAAAACTGATCATGCCACAAGATATAAAAGAGTAATTGGATTATAAGATCAATCATCTTGTACAAATGACTCGATGTCAGAGTTACCTAAAACTTCACGCAGCTCTTTTGCAGTACAGGCTGCTTGTATTGGTCCACGTCTTCCAACCAAATACACTTTCCTACAATCATATTTATGTATTTGAACACATTAAATTAATGACCTAGCCAAAGAGATGTGTTTGGTATTAAGTGGGTGGATCACAGACCTTACGGAGCTCTCCTCCAGAGCAGCCAAAGCATGGAAGGCAATATCAGTTGTTGCCAATTCCATCGTTGGTCGTAAAAGGATGCGCGCAACATCAAGAGCTACATTGCCCTGAAAACATTGATGTAAGATAGTCAGAACTTGTTTAGGATTGAAGTGTTTGGCAGCATCAAAAACTGTTCTATTCGCATTAAAGGAAAAAAACTCCATTTGTCGTTTAAGCAATATAACTAAGAAAATCGATCGATACATATTTATCTAGCATCATAAGAATCCCATCCACATAGAAAAATGGACTGATGTCATATGCATATGTGAAGATACCTGACCAAGAATAACAACCGTATCAGTGCTCTTCAAGTTTGGAGCCAAATTTCTGCAATCTGGGTGCCCATTATACCACCAAACAAATTCTCTGGCAGAGTGTATCCCAGTCAAATCCTATAAAGAACACAGAGGTATAAGAAGAATAAAACCATAAAGTTTGCAGATGGCATCATTAAGAAAAACAAGTTTGTAGGACACTAATCCATAATAGTTAACAACGATTGCAATATAAGTTTACATATACATACTTCTCCAGGAATGTCAAGAACTCTATCACTTTCAGCACCATAGGCAAGCACTACCTGTTCAATTGCGTGTATTTTTATCCCAACAAATAAAACATTAAATCAATAAATGAAATGCAAGTGCATATCTAAAACAATAAATAAATCAACAGAACCATCTAATGTAGTTATCTTACCACATTATATATCTCCCGGAGCTCAGACAAGGATACAGAAGATCCAAGAGACACATTCCCAAAGAATGAACAACGTTCATTTAGTGCAACACGTGAAAATTGGTTGGTCACAATCTGTAGGAAGTTTTCTGGTAAACTAAACTATATTAAGAGGATTATTCAGGAAAATACAGATAGACAAAAAGAATTCCAAAACACACAGCATTGCCAGTTTACAGAGTAATCATTAAAAGAATTGTGGGAGCATATCAACTTAGAACCATTAATATTGGATGAAAACAGATATGATAGCCGTGAGTTAATTATCTCAGATTTTCTTTTTCAGATTGCAATAAATTGTTTCGGTAATTTCGTTACAACATTCATGATGCCCCACAGCTTTTCAAGTGGATTAAAATAATTTGTGAACCCTCCTCAACCCGGTTATGCACATTGGACCTTCGGTAGGAACAAAGAGAAAGAGAGAAAAAGTAGCTACCGGACAAAAGAAAGAATGATACACCTAAAGAGTAAAGCACTTCATACCAGTGTTATCAAAATCGAACCGGACTGGTGAACTGGGTCCTAAATCGGTCTGGTTGACTAAAAAGACCGCCTATGTAATCGAACCGCTGGAGAACCACCAAACCGGCCAGTTGTGGCCAAAACCAGTGAACCAAACGATCCTAAAACCAGCTAGTTCAAAACTTAATAACAGCCACTTCATATTCTCCATCTCTGATTCTTCAAGATCTATCACTTGAATAGCAGCCACAGGCTCACACCATAGATCTCGAACTCCTTTTCAGCCATTGATCTCCTCCTAAGTTATGTAAGTCTTCTTCTCCTCTCTCTCTCACACAAACACACACCCACAGCCAGTGATACTCACACATGTTGGGTCTTGTCTTTTCTCTCTCTCTATACACGTGCACACACACACACATGATCAATATATACTCGGTTAATACACACACTCAACAATCAAGACACACACACACTATACACCACTCACATAGTACACTTTGATTTTTATTGTGATTGTGGATTTTTAGCTAAATTATTATGTTTTATAATTTTATTTTTTTTTGCACAGTTGATCCAACGATTGAATTATTGACCCGGTCCACGTCAAGTCCGATTCTGATAACTATGCTTCATACTACTGCACTGGGACTGGATTCAAACCCTATGCCCCAAATTCCACAAACCAATTGAAATTAAACTTTCAAATCACATACCATTCTGTGCCAACCATATATCTAAGAGTCTAGACACAACTATATGATGGTATATTAGTGTTCATTGACACAGAGTTACAAATCCCATATCCTCATCCCCCACAACAATTCAGCGTTACAAACCAAATTATCACTTTTTATATAATTGGAGTACCAATGAAACAAAAATCAATGCCACTTTCCGAAAACAAAAGGCAATGATAAATAATTCTTTGAAGATTCACACCTTTGTCTCGGGATGATCAGGTGCTACGCCAGACCGGACTAATCCATACGGAGTCGGCAATCTATCAATTATATCAACTTCCGCTCTTTCATGGGCCTTCAACATCTACAATTTTAATTCAAAAGGCACAAAAAACATGTAAACATATAACGAAGAAAATAGTATCATATCATTGAACATAACTTTAGGTTCACCAACAAACGATATATATAAAGAGAGAGACAGAGAGAAATATATACCTTTTCGACAGTGTAGAACCCAGCGGGTCCGCTACCAACCACGCAGACACGCAGTGGATGAGAAGAAAGTGATGAAAAGGTTTTTGAAAACAATTTCAGTGCTTTAAGAATCGCCATATTTGAACGAACGAAGCTCATATAGACTGCGAGGAAGCTCTCTCTTACTCTTGCTAGGGTTTTAGAAGCTCAACGTTTAGAAAATAGCATCTAAAAATTGGAGAGAGAGAGAGAGAGTGTGAGTTTACAAATGAAAGCCAGTTAATTGGTTGGAATGCCCATTATGTGTCGCACTCAAAAGCCCATTTTAATTTGGGCCTGTCCCATAAAGAAAAAACCTTGGGCCTAATTCAACCTTATAAAGTTAACAAATTTGAGGGCATCTATCTTCCGGGCCCTATAACTGGAGTTATAATTTTTTTTTTCACCATAATTGGAGTTATAATTGAAGGAATGTAAAATTGTGGGGGGCATCTCCAATCTTTACTTAAATTTAGACTCAAATTTAAATTTGAATAAAAAAGTCTAAAAAACTTGTTTTAACCCTTGACTCAAACTTATACCAAATCAAGGAAAACTCATTTTTTTACTCAAATCAAGGGAGACTCAAATATTTAAAGGTGAAATTTTACCATCTTTTAAAAATTTAATAGTCATCCTTATTCCCTTTTAAATTTAATTTTGTCCTCATTTAAATTTAGGTCTCTCCTTTAAATTTGAGTTTATCCATTTGAGTCCTTTATATCAAATCAAACTTTTTACTCAAATGTTAATTTAAATTTGAGTCATGGTTGGAGATACTCTTACAAATTACTTATTTGTGAAAAAATATCTTATTGAAAATTTAGTATTAGATAAGTGCTTCTAGTTGAAAATGTTTTGTGTGTAGATACACATTTACAGTTTTTAAAGTATTTCCTTTACTGAAATACACTTTTCTATAATTTAGGGATTGTTTAGTTTGACAGTTCCTTTTTACATGGGATTTGTTTTATTATATCAACACTTTCCTATTTTAATAGATTAAAATATTTAAATTTTAAACATATATTATCTTTTTCTTCAACAACTGTTGATCTTTTCAATGTCTAGTGTCTTTTTTCTAACTTAAACAACTTGTGATCTTCTTCTAGTTCAACGAATTCATCTTTTTTTTCATGTCAGATTTGGGTAAAATATAATGTCAGCAGCCTATTTTTTTCAAGTTAATTAGTAATGATTGTATTTAAATGTAATAAAAACATTTCCTGTTGTGGTTAGTTTTGGTTTTTTTACATGTGTTCTTCATCTTCTCGCGAATATAGGCCTCTTATCATGTTTAATTGTATTGTTACATTATGATGTATCATTGTCATGTTTTTAAAAGTACTATGTCATATGTCAAGCATAGCATTTAGTTTGTGTAGGAATTAAGAAATGTAATTCTACATTTTTTATCACAGTATAACAAATAAAAAAGTGCTAATTATATTTTTACACTGTGATGTAACACTGCTGATGGTGTGTTACACAATTGAACAAAGCTTGAGATCTTTTGGGATTAGAGGGTCATTGAACAACTCAGTCAGAGCTCCTATGCTCTTAAGACTAGAACAAGGGAGATGGAGAATTGTACACTGAGAGTTTATAATGGTTCACCAACTCGAGAGCTCGACTAATCCATTTTTAAGGGAGTCTCTTGCTTCTGGGAACAATTTTATTGATAAAAGGGGAAAGATTACATAGAGCATTTGCTTAAGCTAGTTGCTTGTGTTTTATTGTAAGGAATATGCCTCTTATTTATAGTCTTCTAAGGCCTTACCTATTTCTTGGCGTGATCATTGCCTTCTCCTTGTAATGGTTGCACTTTTTATGTGATTGTCATGAACATCGTTGAGGCGATTACAATTTCCTTGCTCAAACATAAGACTGTTACGATTTATGTGTGATGTTGGGATGGAAGTCAGTTGTCATCCTTGCTATTCCTATAGGGGTGTAGTTGCTGAACAAGAGGTGACGACCTGAGCACCCCTAGTTATTCGGGATGAGTCGAGTTACCCAAGCTTGAAAGGTCCGAGCTGACTGACCGAACTCAACTTTAAGCATATTCTGGGTATTATCAACCATTAGGGATGTCAGTGAACCGGAATGGGGACAGGGTATAGTCTTGATCCCCGTATCCGCTTAAAAAACCTTCATCCATTCCCGGTCCACCCCGTTAACGGGTCATCCCCATCCACATCCACATCCCCGCCCGCCCTTAAATTTTTAATCCCCACCCCGTACAAGCCCAAGCCCAAGTTCAAGTTCAATCCAACATAATCCAAAATTCTAGGAGTTGGTTTTTGATAGATAAATCTGGGCAGAGTGCAATTTTAGATTTCTCCAATTTGTTTTGAGATTTGAAATTATTTTGGCTTTGAATTGTTGATTTCTTTTTTGCTTTGTTCATGTTTGAGTTTCAGCATATCAAAGCAATTTAATTCCAACCCTGAAAAACCCAAATCAGGGAATACAGACACAGCCCAAAAGCATTCAAAAAAAGTAGAATCAAAAACAAAGAAAACAAAAAACAAACCTGTGATAAGATCAGTTATACGGTATCATAAGTCATGTACCCACACTGATTTGTACAACGTGAGAGAGAGAGAGACAGAGAGCATACAAGAATTACCTCCGTAAGACTGAGTTTGTGAGAGATTAGGGAATGAGCAGAAATGGATTGAACAAGAAGCTGGGTTTGAAACAAAAGTTATTTTTTTTTTTGCGGAAAAGCAAATTACTTTTAAAATCAGTGGTGGGTTTTTTGTTTTCTTTTCTGGGTATTGGACGAAAAAGGAGAGAGTAGTAGACAGTACACGATGGTCTTTGGATTGACTCCGACGACCAAGAATTCATTAACCTGCTGGATGTTTTGGGTTAGGTATTGCGAGAGAGGGGGCTGCTGAGCCTTCGATTGAGCTGCTGTGTCACTGTGAGAGAGAGAGAGAGAGAGAGAGAGAGAGAGATGACTGATCTGAGGCTGTAAGCAGGGAGGACTGAGGAGCAGTGACCAGTGAGGATGGAGGCGGGTAAAGGACTGACGCGAATAAGATAGGTTTAATGGGAGTATTTATATATATATATATATAAAGAGAGAATTACACCCGGTCTTCCGAAATTTGTTACTCAATCACCCAAATCCATTGGCATTTAAAATATTATACATAAATCCCTTAAAATTTGTACGCGCATAATACTTATACCTTATTGTAAATATATTCGTTAATAAATTACACTTAGACTCCTCTAAAATTTTTGGATATATAATATTTAAACCGTTTAAGTTTAAAATATTATACTTAGACCAAAAATACTATAATCAAATATAAAATATTTTTTAAATTTTATAATCAAAATCTATGTTCTATTGGATCATTTATTGAAATAAAATTAAAAATAAAAATTTAATTTTTTCTTAAAAAATTATAATTAGTATATAATTACATTGTCTGTTAAAATTTAATTTAGTCGTTTAAACGACCAAATTAAAATATCAAACTACCCCAATTAAATCTAAAATATATTATGTTCATTATAGTTGATTCCTTGTTTAATTTTTTACGTTTGTTATAATAAACAGTACAAATATATATTAACTATGTTTTTTTTTTAAATAAATTATTATTTTTAATTTTATTTCAATAAAATGACATAATAGAACATGAATTTTAGATGTAAAATTCATATTCTATTATGAATGATTTAGATCCATTGTTTGATTTTTTTTTATTCTAATAGATAGTATAATTGTATACTAATTACGATTTTTTTAAAAAAAAATTAATTTTTTATTTTTAATTTTATTTCAATAAATGATACAATAGAAAATGAATTTTTGTTGTAAAATTTAAAATATTTTATATTTTATATTTGATTGGAGTATTTTTGATTTAAGTATAATATTTTAAATTTAGAGGGTCAAAATATTATATACCTACAAATTTTAGGGGTTCTAAGTATAATTTATTAATGGATATATTTACAACAAGGGTCAATATGTTACGCGCGTACAAATTTTAGAGGGTCTATGTGTAATATTTCAAATATCAAGAGATCTGAATGATTAAATGACAAATCTCAAAGGGTCTGAGAGTTATTTTCCATATATATAAACTAAAAATCTTAATTCCTTAACCATATGATTTAAATTTAAAATAATTGTTATTGTATTTATACAATAATTATGATTGAATGATATTTATGTTTTCTTGTGTTTTATTATAATTGTTTTAAATTTTAGTGTGTCGGTTTATTATATTGTTAAATTAGTGCATGTTATTTAATTGAATTGTTAAAATAATTCAAAAATTAATAATTATAAAAATGTTCACCTGATTTCTTAGTCGACTTCCTACCCGATTAATTTGACCGGAAGTCGGGTAGGAATATCATACTTGATCGAATAGGGTAGGCCAAAAAAAAATTATTCCGCAAAATAACAGATAGGAAAATTAAAAATTATATTTTCTATCCGTAGAATAGGATGAACACCCCCAGATAGAAGAGGAGTTAGAAATGCGTGGGACTTTGACATTGACTCTATCAATTTGTAAATTTTATTATAGAGAACATATTTTTAATTATAAAAACTCGATTTATAACTAAATGAGTGATAAAAACTCGATTGTAATTTTTATCAGTATTTAAACCCAATATTTAGGAATTAGTTTGGTGGAGTCCAAAAGTTGATATACTTCTCTCTTTGTTTATTTGTCATGCTCTTATCTGATTACTTGAGTAAATCATTGACAAGCTGCTAATTACTTAAATTCTGAAGCTAAATCAGGACTCATTAAGCAATTCAGCAGTTAAAAGAATCCACAGATCATGCGAATTGAACTCATGGTTGTAATGCATACCTCAAATGTAAATAATCAATCACAAATTGCACACATCGGTCAAACCCGACTACTCTATTTATTAGATCATTGAACCAATACCTCAAATGTAAATAGTCATTCATAAATTACACACATGGATTAAACCCGACTGCTCTACTAGCCCACTGAACCAATGGTAATGCCAGATCCATATAACTAGGACGAGACAACCATTCATCTGTTTTTCAGTCATAAATAACAAATCCATATTGCAAATTATTGTAAAATACTTTGATGTAGAACAAAAAGTGACAAATTAAAAGTGCAACGGAGGACAAAAAGGCAATGGTGGAGACAAGATGGTTCCGAGAGCAAACTACTTTGGTGATCCGAGGACCAGTAAGAAACCAACACTAGAAGCTCCACCACCAAGATGGAACCACCCTCAGGTGAGCCCCCAGTTGGGAGGAATTTTTGGGTTCCCCCAGTTGAACCCAAAAATTGCACCACTCCCCAGTTAATAAGCTTGAATGCGTAAAGATGATCAATAGACTGCACACCATCAATAGGAGTCACTCTCTCCCTGTGTGTGTGTGGCCCATACAATTGGGAACCAACAAAGAACTATAGGATTTCATAGGCCAAGATAATTGTCCACTTGAGACCTGAAATTAGTTTAAGATATTCTAACAAGGAATTTAACCAAGTGCTATAATTAATCGCCGTACATCAATTGAACTCAACAAGTATTTTATTTCAGCCATTGTCATTCAAATAGATGGAGCAATCAATCCAAGAACATGTAGTGATGTTTTTCATGTATAACGTAGGGGAAAGGGAAACTGATCAAAAATCCCACCAAATCGAACTGGCTCATCTGCCGATTGCTTCCCCCTGGGCGTGATTCTCAGAGCCATTTATTTGCCCCAGGCCTAAACCACCACAAGTTATCAAGCAGCAACCTTCTTTGAGGTCACAGAATTAATAATGGTTGCAAACTCAGGACCCTGCACCACATAAAATCAACTTTAGTACAGTTCGCCTTCTGCTTGTGGCCATCTTAATATAGGGACAATGCAATACATACAACACGAAAAAGTTGAAAACAATTCCTATTTTTACATGTAACATTATTTGTATCCTTACAACTTGTTGGATCTTCTGCCGTCTTACCAAAACCCGTATATGATGCACTAGGTTACATGTTCAAAAATATAACCCCAAGGATGAGTGCACACCCCTTTGATTGAAAAAGAAAAGAAGCGTTTACAAAACCGGGTAAAAGATAATATAATCTGAGGAGAAGGGGTGATTAAGAGCAATTTATTTATTTATTTGTTTTATTTTGGGATTTTCAATTTTTTGTTTTATTTTTTAGGTGCGTGAGAAACTGGAAGTAATGTAAGTTTATTTTTTTCCCTTATTGTTGGGCTGTTGTGGTACTTCCTGGGTACATAGTTAAGCTCCTTAAGGCACTTTTATTTTGCAACCAAAATTTTTTTTAACAGATTATTATTGTAGTACAGCACATGAGGCAACAAAGAAACAGTGCTCAACAGGATATTGACATCAAAATAACAAATGGCAAGACAATACCTTTAAGGAAGCACCGCCGACAAGGAATCCATCAATATCTTCTTGTTTTGCAAGTTCAGCACAGTTGCCCCCATTTACAGATCCTGCAGAAGAAAAAAGCATTCTAATGAGTAACTATGGGAGAAAGCAGTAAACCATTACCATAGAAAATCCTTGATCATTCAGCCAAACTGAGCTCCTAAGGGCAGAGATAGTGAGCAGCAGCAAAATTTTGCAAGCTCCAGCATTATGTTTTCATCAAAGCCACTTGTTCAATTTAGTGGTCAAATGGTCTTTCTTTCCAACTCCTCAACAAAATGTACATAAGCCGGACACCATACTCTTTTTTTTTTTATCCCTGGCTAGTGACATTGCACAAGAATGTAAACATTCTTAACAGAGATCTAATACATACCATATTATGAAATTGATTCTTAAAAAGACTGAAGGCTACGAGATTTTCTTTTTCTACAGATCTTGTTTTATAGTATACCTAAACTTGCAAAAGAATATTCATGTGATGGAACAGAAAGAAAAAAAGCATGGAATACCTCCGTAGATAATCCGTGTCTTTGACGCAACATCTGCAGAAACATTCTTTTTAAGCCAATCACGAACTGCTACATGAACTTCCTGAGCCTGCTCTGGTGTGGCCACTTTACCAGTTCCAATTGCCCATACCGGCTCATATGCAATGACGACATTATCCCAACTGGGTACAGCATCTGGACATTGGCGACATAAGTTACTTAATTAGGGAAGAGAGAGAGAGAGAGAGAGTGGTTTAATTTCTCAATACATTGGAAAATCCAGTGAAAAATAAATGATTAAGAAATTTGCCTGCAAAAGCCTTCATTTGCTGAAAACAAACGTCAAAGGTTTTGCCTGCTTCTCTTTCTTGTAACAGCTCTCCAATGCAGGCTATTACTCCCAGATCCTGGCTCAAGGCGTAAGCAGCCTTCTTTCCTATAAACTGAATGTCACAGCACTTGAGTCAAATTCGGATAATATAGCCATTATTCAGCATGAAACACAACCAACCAATCTAGGAGACCAACCCAATGATGTTTATAAATTTCCTCGCCTGTTTGGTATTATTTTCTTAAAATTCAGCGCAAATGAAGTTGTTAGTTCAATTGTTTACCTGGTCATCTTCTCCAATTACATGTCTCCGTTCAGAATGTCCAAGAATAACCCACTTGCATCCAATATCCTTCAACTGTTCCACACTGTAAAATGGAAAGGTCTATTTGTTCATTCACATGAGGCTACCAGACTTGCGTCATGTGCTAAAGTGCATACTCAGATCAAACAACAATATGAAAGAATAAAGGCAAAAACAATCGAAAGAATCCGGAATAGCCCACAAAACAGGTCCATCCAAAAATGAAAACCATGCAGTCAGTGTCACAGCCAAAATGACCACATTTATATGCAACATGCCAACTCTATTCCAAGCTAATGAGATAGACAAAGCTAGCTTCCATGTTATCCTTCCTATCCATAAGCATGCATTAATGCAGGTTTTGCTTTTTCTTCAGCATGGCAAACAAATTTGTCCGGATGTGCATACAATCACTAACCGCTGGAAACACTTCCTCAATATAGTCTGTTGAACACACATCGTCACATTGAAGATGGGCCATCCAATCATCTCTGGAAGTATCCATGCTATATAACTTCAGGAAATCCCACCCTCAATCCTTAATTGTTGAAACTTCCACAATTGATGGGTTAAAACAATCAGCCGATCATTAACAACTGAATCAAAGTGTTCCATAATTTTCTCGACCAATCATAACTAATTAACTGGTTCCTTGTAGGACTGTCAAAATTCGACACGACACGATTAACCAACACAAATCGACACGAATTAAACGGGTTTGGGTGATAAACGGGTTGACATGCCAAACACGTTTAATAAACGGGTCGTGTTTGGGTGAGACCTGTCAAACCGTTTATTACACATTTACCCGTTTAAATAAAATTAATATAATAATAAATTAATAATTATTTTAAAAAATTAACAAGAAAAAAGAAGTAAAGAAATCAATAAAAAAAAAAAAAAAGTAAAGTAGTAGTTTAAAGCAAAGGAAAAGAGTTGGAGAGCGCTTCAAAGGTAAAGGCAAACAAATGTCATTTGTTTTTGTTCCCACATTGAAAAATGAGAGGAGATGGGGAGCGTTGAGTTGCCTATAAAAGACAATGGCCTCTTGCTTTTATTTTTAAAGCCTCAAGTCTTATTTTTCAAATACAAAGGAGAGGAGTTGTAGCGCACTTCAAAGGCAAAGGCAAAGGCAAACCAATGTTTTTTATTTTTGTCCCACATTGAAAAATGAGGGGAAATGAGGAGGGTGAGTTGCCTATAAAAGGCAATAGCCTATTGCTTTTTTTTTTTAAAGCCTTTAAATCTTATTTTTATGAGATTTGATTTAAAATTCCTCTTTTTTGAGGTAAATGCAATTAGTAGTAAAAAAAATAGCGTATTAAAATTTATTGAAATAATTTTTTAAAAATTAAACGAGTTAAACGAGTCGTGTCGTGTTACCCGTTTATTAAATGGGTTGTGTTTGTGTTGAAATTTTTTACCCGTTTATTAAACGTGTCGTGTATGGGTTTATCCGATTTTCACCCGTCACCCATTTAACCCGACACGTAACCGTTTGATCCGACCATGATTAACACCCCTAGTTCCTTACCTTATGTTCTATATAGTAAGTGTGACTTATTTCTAAAGTTGAGTGAGTTTAATGAAATATTGCCCAATGGGGTTTTGTCTGTCGTAGATGTATTGAAAATTTATATTGACGGAGGAGGCGTAAAATAAATATTCATTGAATACACCCCTAACATGTGATTGGGAGGTCCATTCATGTGATTGTGTTTTGAGGACCAATTTAAAAGCTTATTTATTTCAGAATAAAGGTAAGCCGCATGAAAGGGACTCCCTTAAGTCATTAAACATTATCCTTAACAAAGAGTATTCTCCGAATTGGGTGCAATAGAGGGTTGCAAGTCATAAATATTGAGCCCATCAAGAATAAAGATGCTAACCTGATTTCTCCGGTAAAAGCCCCACCTTTTCCTGTCCATGAATTTTGAGCAGCTATATCAATCCTATCTGTTAATGAATTCTTGACTTGTTCAATGTAAACAAAGGGAGGAGCTACAATGACATCTGCAGAGGTCAAAGGATAGAATTAAGGTCAGAAAACTTCTGGATTCAACATTGACTAAAGAGTAATCAGAAACTACTTTTGAAACTTCAAGAATAGCACGGTATATTAAATGCATAACAGGTTAGAAGAAGACAAGAACATCAATAAAATAAACAGCGAGAATGGCCTCTCCTCCTCTCTTCTCTCTGTGTAAATCCTGGAATACATACTGCTGACTAATAAATAACTCACTTCAAAAAATGAATGAATCATCCTAATTGGCATTCACTAGCCGTAAGCCGATGAGAGTATGATTCAGTGATTTCTCCTTACGCCATGATCATCTCACGTGAGTACTAAAGGCTATACTGGTAGGGACAACCACATTTTTATATCACAGATACTTAGGAGCTAGTGTACTATGGGTCTCGACTCCTCAAGCAAAGCATGTAAAAAAAATAATCAGCAGGTCGGATGATCGGACAGCACAAGCATCAAAAACAAAAGAGTAGTCTTGCCTATAAGCTTGAAATACTTCATAGATATATAGAAGCCAGCATAGCAAGGTCAAAATTGAAATTGACTAAGTACTTGTATATGAGCAAGGGTGCATTTTAATAAACTGAAGCGCAACAAGCTTAGGCTCTCTCACATGCTTACTGAATGAGAGAATTTGTAAGCAATAATAACTACACACTCATATTAAATAATAGTCATTGCATCTAAATGACATTACACATTGAAAGCAGAAGACAACTCATCAACAGACTCTTCTAGAAAAGGATAACTCACCAACATCAGTCTCTAACTTGGCACTGTTCAAGTCCAATACAAGCTTGCTAATTGAGTCTTTGGTTCCATTCTATATAAAAATATTGATCACACTCATCAGTAAAGACAATAAAAACTAAAATACCATCCAACATCCAAAACATCCATCAGCATTGTGATTTTACAGAGAAAAAGAAAAAAAAAAGTTCCAAAACCACTAACAGATTAAATATAGTTTCTTTTAGTCCTCAAATTATTTAAAGAAGTATAGAATTCCCCAGCCAAAAAAGAACATAAACATGAACTGAAAACGAGGAATGGAGAAAGACAAAGATACTTACACACTTCCAGTTGCCACCGACAAAGAACTGCAAAGAAAAGAAAAAGGTGAAAGATTAAACTTTTGACATTAAAATAGGAAAATCAAACTTGATAACTAAGAAAGCTATAAAGATTATAAGTTGAGGGCCACCTCCTTCATAGAATAAGAATTATGACTAACTGACAGATGTAAAGAAACTAAATAAACTATAACAAAGAACAGAGAGAGATTGAGGCCATTGCTCGGTGCAATGCACAATCCTCCAGTTTCCAAGCGCAAGTATGAAGGTCTGAATCTGATGGCACACACTTTGCACAAAATGCAAATAATGTTGAACCTTATATCTATACCTATTTGGGCAATCCATACACTTTATGAGCTGGAAGAAACACTGTAATGGCCTCGGTTGACACATACCAACAGAGGGCCATGGCCTTTCTCTTTCTTTGCACTATCAAACCGCAAAACATGTTTCAATGTGCCATTTGGAAACAATGGTCATTAGCAAATCAAAGCCCAGAAGCCACACTTATCATACAAAAGCCATCTAGAATCTGGCATAAACATAATTTTCTTCAATAAGATGGCTTTGCTCAAATAATCTATAATAGCAAGTCATTAATAAGCATTCAATAGGGAAAGGGAAGAGCACAAGCATCCCTGACAAATTAGACACTGCTAAATGATATGAAGATTAAAACATAAGCTGTAGAATCCTTGATAGGAGGTATTGTTGCAGTTGAAAGCATCAAACAAACATTTTAAAAGAATATAGAGAAATTATGGGTGAACAAAACAAAAAAAAAATGATATGTAAAGCATTGTACCATGCAATTTAGGACGTATATAAATTATGAAAGAATAAGGGCACAATAAGTTGTGTATGCCCAGTCTGCACACAAGTCGGACGCCACTGAATAGCCAAATCCATGAATTTCGAATTTTAATTCAGAAGCTTGGTATCAAGTTGTTGAAACATCAGAGTGATCAGTCTCAAAATAGATGAAGCACAACAAAGCAAAGTGAACAAGTTTCTTCAAACTCAATAAATTCAAGAACCTAATGCCATTGTCGCAAAATTGGAGTGCAGTACCAATCTCGAGTGGATCTTTTTTAGATGATTGAGTGCAATGAGAAGGCTAACACAAAGTATTTCGATAGGCGCGTTGGAGACCTTGCATTACATGACTGTGCGTGCAGAATCTTGCACAATATAAACACGAGAACAGATCTCTCCCATGGTGAACACGAATCAGTCAATCGAATGGTCAACCTTACTGGACAGAACAGACTGTGAGGACCGGTGGTAGCCTAGAACGGTAATGGGTGACTTTTGTGGGTCACCGGGGTGGTCCTGTAAGGCTAAGAGAGATTCCTGGAATAGAGAAAAACAAGTTAGGATGACGCCGGAGTGTTTTTCGGTGTATCTCCTCCAACGATCAAGTCAGTTCTTTGAGAGAGAGGAAGAAGAAAACACTGTGTATAGGTTTGAGAAAAGGTTTTTTGCGTACCTCATCATGCGTTTTGTGAAGAATATTTATACCTTAAAAACTCATGATTGCTGTCAATATGGTCAGTAGGTGATCATTAGAGGCGGATAACGTGCACACTGGTTTTTAAGAGAAATGACCTCTTCCTTAACTGTTTGGGACCCCGAGCAATCAATGCATCACCCACGGTCTGTTGAGTATTTAATGACCTTCACTTGGCTAGGATATATTAAATGCTCTATCACAGGATCATTCCTTGTCTTTCACTTCCGGGTCTTCACGCATTAAATGTTGTCTCATCAAGAGAAAGGTGCATTAAATACTTATTTTTTCAAGTCATATGTCAATAAGGGCATTCTGGTCTTTTCGCCTCTGATCTGACACAGTACGCCACGTGCCAGCTCCCCTTTGGTTGAGCCTTCTACTTTCCTGTGCGTCATGACACCATTTAGGTAAGAACACGTCATGATGGCTAATCTAGTCTAGCCCAGACTGATGACCTGTATATCAATACCCCTGTAGGAACAGGAATGCCGACGTAGTGGGTACACATCGGTGCCGAGGGCTTAGTACGGTCAGAGCCGATGTACCCACCCCCAATCGACGGAGGAATATGTGTCGCCCGTGCATACCGGCGTCGTAGATCCTTATGCATAGTACCATCTCGGGGAAAGAGGGATCATGATCCAACGAGCACGTGTCGTGATCAAAAGCAGAGAGTATTTTTTGACACTGAGTACACGTGTCGCTATATTGGAGTGTCCGAAAAATATCCCATCAATGACATATCCGTAACAATGGAGGAACTCAGGCCGAGGAAACACCATAATTTAGGTAAGAAGGTCATTAACTAATGTCTATACACAAACAAACAACCACTAGCTTCTTCATTTAGCACATAATAGATGAATGTAGATAGATCTACAAAGTAAATTGACGCAACACAAGAAATCGAATCTACCTTTCCGGAACCGGCCATGGTGACTACGCCCCTGGAACCTCTTCTTGAAGATGAAAGACGGAGGTGAGAGTCGACGATTTGGAAGAAAGACTGAGTGGAAGAGAGAGAAAGAGAGTTTTCGAGCTTCGATGAAGATCGACGAAGTCCAGAGAACTGAGGGCAGTAGGAAGTGGCGGATTTAGGGCCAGACAGTTGAGATGCGAGCGATGTGGAGGCCATTGCCATCGGAAGCTGAGGTTCGAACTGGTGGCAGTGGTGGTGGCGCTCTTATGGCGGTTTTCTGTGCTTACCAGTCGTTGGAGGCCCTCGCTAAACATGCGGCGATGTATTTTATGGTAATCCGTTTGGGCCAAAGGGGGATATTTGATTCACGCTCCCTTTTGGAGCGTGGAACCAAATTCTAATAATTCGAATAATTCGAATTTTCTTTTTCTCTTTTTTATCTTCTCATCTTCACTTTCTCAATTTTCATATAAATTTTATAAATCATACGGGTCTCGCATTAATGGTTCTTTTGTATATAATATGAATATTGTCTATTTTTTTTTATTATTTTTCTATGTAATGTGTTAGAATGATAAAAGAAAAATATTTTTAAAATTTACATAATTAAATCAAAATTTACATAATATTTTTAAAATAGTTCAATTAAAAAATATTGTTTTTTTTCTATTAGTTTGACTATTTAGTTCTCACTTTAATATTTTCATGATTTACAAGATATTTTATTTGAACTATTTATTTAATATATTATTTTCCTGCAAATAAAATAATCATGACATCTGAGTTATGTGCAAATAATCACAACATCCCGTATGATTTTAGTTGAAAAATTAGTTGAGTTTCAAGGATTTTAAAAATCATAAAGGATGGTCTTTTGTCATATAACATTAAATGATCTATATATTATTCAAAAAGTAAAACACTAAACAGCAACTTTAGCACAAAATAGCAAATCATTTACCTTTTATATGCACTAATTCTTTTTGGACAAAAACGAAAACAAAAGAAAATTATTAAAAGAAGTTTTTCTTGCTATTTTTTTATTTACACAAAAAAAATCTTGACTACAATGGTGATTACAAATTGACAAATTCTTAACTGTTTAATGTATTTTTTTGTGACTTTTGGCTGATGACAAAAAAGAAGGAGAAGGAACATCCTTGAAATAAATTTTTTTATTAGGTCTGTCAATCGTATTAGTCGAAGCAAAGTTTTTTTTTTTTTGGATTTTATTGGATTTATATCAAAAAATATTATACTCATATTAAGTTTGTATCGTGTATGGTATATAAAACAGTTGTATCATATATTTTTTTTAATTGATTTCGCTCATAATCGATCTGTTTATTAATCGTGTTTTGTCAGGTTCAGTCATTAATTACGAAATAGATTAAAAAATATACAAATATTCTAATGTCATGTCTTATTAACGGGTTCCAAATTTCTTATTAATTTTTTTTTACTGGATTTTCTTATTACATAACTGTGTATTGGATTCACGCGCGCTATAAAGCGGTGGGATTGGCATTTCTTCTCTCACGAAAATATCAGGACCAGTGGTTGGCGTTGCTGTCCTGTCCTCCGCATAATTTCTGACTCCCATTAGCGGACGAATCACAGATGTGCTTTTAACTTCTTTTTTTTTTTATATATTTTATTCCTACGAAAGGGATAATATTGGGAGCCCTCTGGAGCTGCCACGTATCTATCAATTAAAAAAAATTGTCAAAATGATGATCAAATTATTTTGGGTGTCGATGAAAATATATTAAAAAACTAAATTAAAACCTGTTTTCTTTATATATTTATATTATTTTAATATGTACGTTGATGAAATTATTTGACATTAAAAAATGTGTTAATTGAATTGTTAGAAACTAGGAGTCATGTAGGGAAATTTATGTTTTTTGACAAGAAAATAAGATTTAGGATTCATTTTGTATTATTATATTAAAGTAGATGAATATTGAATCAATTAATAATTCAACTTTCTAACTTTAAATTATATAAATATATCCCATTATCCAGACCAGGTGGAACACAATATTAAAGCATACAGTGAGCTCTTAATGATTAAGATCAAATGTATATGATACATTTTTGGTCGATTTAATTATGTCTGTTAAAATTCGACACGACACAATTAATCGATACAAATTAAGCAAGTTTGAGTGAGATCTTAACGGAATTGAATTGTAAACGGGTTGACCCATGAGACACATTTAATAAGCGGATCGTGTTCATGTGAGACCTGTTAAACCGTTTATCACACGATTATCTGTTTTAATAAAATTAATATAATAATAAATTAATAATTATTTTTAAAAATTAACTAGAAAAAAATATAAAAAAAATAAAATATTAGTTCAAAGACAAAAGAGGGTAGATGAGAGCAGTTTATAATAAAGTCAAATTAACCCTTTTTGTTTTTGTCTCACGTCAGCAAATGAGAGGAGATGGGATAAGTAAAAAGCAGTGACCTTTTGCATTTTTTTTTTTAGCTTTCAAATTTGATTTTTATGTGAAATTTGGCTAAAAATTCTTCTTTTTGATGTAAATACAATTGACAGTAAAAAAAATTGTGTATTAAAATTTGTTGATATAATTTTTTTTAAAAGTAAACGGGTTAAACGAGTCATGTCGTGTTATCCGTTTATTAAACGGAACGTGTTCGTGTTGAGATTTTTCACTCGTTTACTAAACGTGTCGTGTACGGATTTATATGTTTTTCATCTGTTACCCGTTTAACCCGACACGTTCGACACTTCTAAATTTAACAATAATAACAATAAGTTTGATCAATAAATTAAGTAAAATAAATATACTTAGAGAAAAATTATTGGATAACTACACCTAAACCAAATCACCAAACTCACCGAAAAGACTTGAGAACTAAGGATAATGGGTCACTAGACCTTGGTAGGTGTTGAATTGATTTGTTTCCCTAGTTCTTAGATGCGTTGGGTTGGTATGATATTTCCAATTCATAAATGAGCATGCTGACTTATAGATTCAACTTGTATGGATAAGGACGTTACTATGGACTCTACCCCACCATACGATGGAACAAAAAAAATCTTTTGAATGGATAATTGGGTTGGATGAGGAAAGCCAAATTCAGTTATAAAAAGTTGGCACTACGCAAAGTAAGAATGGCATGGCTAACCATGGGAAGTGGGACATTTGGGTTCTCCGGTGAAATTCATACGACATTGTCATAATTAACATAACAAATTTTCATTTGTTCTCGAGTCGAGAACATGTAACAACTATTGACATTAACAATGTTAATCTTACTCGGCCATTTTGAGTTTTGATAAATTTAAAGTTCAAGTTAAGTTTCATATCGCTAGTTTATATCTAGATCAAAATTGATTGTCGACCTTGAATGTCAACTTGCGTTCGATTATATATATAGATCATATGCTCATGTTTGGTTTACATTAGATCCAATTCTTGCTTAGGCTGACACGAATTCAAAAAACCCTCACCCATAGACTTGAGCCCACAATCTCCTAATTGAATGTATACATATTATTCGTCAAGTTAAGAATGCCAAAGTGATTCATAAAAAATAAAATAAAATTAATGTACTAAGTTATAAACAAATTAAAATAAAGTTGAGTGACGTTGTTTGGTTCAACTTGAATACTGACCAACCTTGAAAATAAGATCATACTCCATCTGTTTAATATTATGAATAATATAATTTTTTTCATTGTCATTATTATGAACAAATTCAAACAAACCCATATTGAACCAAACTCGAGCTAGTTGATTGGTTTAATAGGTCTAATATATTGATTCGAATTTTCTATAACACATTTTTGCTTCAATTATCTTATTAAATCTACTAGTAACAAGTGAGAATCTCACTTATATCTAAACTACTTTAAAAAGCTAGCATATGTGAAAATTTTTTTTTTCCAACTTTATCCTTTAATATTGAATCTATGTCATCCTTATCCATATGAGTTAATGCCTATTCATCATCCGCTCTAATTGCTTATTAGTCGTTAACCAGTCTCCCTCTTTCTCTCTCTCTCTCTCGCCCTATTTGTCGTATCTCTCTCCTGCTAGTTTACAGACGACCTTACTTCTTAGTAGTTACCCTCTGTCCCTCTCTCTCTCTCTCTCCCTATTTCCTCTCTTAAAGTCACTATCCCTCTCTTGCGAATTCATAGACTAACCATCAACATACCTTCATGCTCCCTCTCCTCACTTCTCCCTTCCCTCAGTCTCTCTATATGCCAAGATCACACCGTCATGGCCCCCCTTCACTGTCCCCCTCTCACTCTCTCTCCCCAAATCTCTTTAATTACATGTGTTCAATTCCAAAAATCAGTTATCATTGAAATACCTTTTTGCCATTATAGATTCAGTTAGGCATCCATTTTCTCTTTCTTTTAAAGCTTTAGTTGTGACTATTCATATCCCAACAATTAATTTGCAAAATAAAAAAAGTTGGACAATTTCTAAGAAATCCTCCGAAATCCTATTTACCATCGCCCTCCTCTGTCCGAAAAATTCTTCGAAATCCTATTTACTATCGCTCTTCGCCCCTCTCTGTTAGACTCTGGTTGACTTTTGTGTCTTGACATTACACAACTATCACTGTACTGGCTCATCAAGTAATGAGTTTTTTTTAACAAATCATTCCCGTAATTTTTGTGTTTAGTCATTATCATCTTCTAATTTTATACACTTTGTGCAAAATTTAATTTTACTTGTACCAACCCAAAAAATCTCATAACTTTACATAGCAAACCTTCTTCTTCTTCAAGCTCTCCACCGCTAGAGGAGCTTCACCCTCCTCCTCTGACCAGGTAACTACTACATGTGAATAAATTATTATATCAGAATTTTTGGACTGGTTTGGTTTTGGGAGTTTTCATTTTGGATTTTTCTTATTATTCTGTTTTGCTGATGAGATCACTGGGAGAATAAAATTATAAAATCCATCTCGAAGACAAATACTGAATCAGATATGATTACATCGGTCTTTTCTTTTTAGTGATTTGTTTTTGAATCAGTTCATTATTTTGCTTAGTTGCTGCAACATTGGTGCAGAACTGAATATAACGTTTTATGTATTTAGGAAAAGTTATCAACAAAAAATCTGGGTGATTAACATATGAAATACATAATTGCACAATGTTAGTCCATGATTGATGTGCAATTTGATGTTCCCTTATAAAATCATGCAATTAACAGATACCAGAATGAGGTACTCTTCTTGTACCTTGGTCTTTGCCTCTACTAAAGTTTTAAATGAATGTCTCTTATCATTAGCAATCTTAAACTCACTGTTAACCCCAACCCCAGGTAACATTCACATCATAGTCAATAGGTTGTCGAGTCCATACCAGATTATCTTTATCCTTGAGTAGAAGACAAAATGAATCCTGTTTGACAATTGACACTGAACTAGGACAATAAATATTGACTTTAGCTTTTGGTAAGCACTACGAACACATTATATGAATCTCTTGGAACCCTTAAGAGTGTTTACAATGCAAAAGATAAAGTGGTAAAGTTTGTGTCAGAGAATAATGATTGGAAAGGAGAATAAATAGCATCTAGCTAGAGAACTGAGGGAACTTCCATACATTTGAAATAAGTAAATATGAAAATCGTAGCATGTTATGTGTCATTTGGTGGGAATTCTTATTATAAGGACATGATACATTTCATTTACTCTGGTTTAGATCTTCTCATTGTGTTCTATGTGTGATTTTAACTAGAGGGACTCTATCATAATTATAATAGTCCTCTTCCAAAACATGATAAGAGTCATCAAAACTGATTTGAAAAGCCCAATATAATAGTTCATTGAAATTCTACCACTGGCATAAAGATATATAGATATTGCTAATGCTAAAAAGTATTATTGGAAAAATCCATCAATAAGGTTATCGCCAAATGTTATGATACCAACTCATAGTTGAAAAAACAGTATTGATCAATTAAATGTTATTTTCTCAAACTGTACATACTTAATCTTTGCTTTTTAAATTTCACAAAATATGCAAGTGAATTAATCTCCTTGTTGTGTTTTATGTCTTATAGGAAATTAAGGGCGATAGTGGATACGTGATTAATAAGATGATAAACTACGTCGCAACTCTACTGTGCAATTATCTATTGTTAAATTGTGGAAGGGGACCAGTGGACTGCAACAAGAGGATCAGGAGGTTAGGAGTGCATCTGGCAGATGTGGAACCCATACATCTAATTGTTGCAAGCTGGAGGTGATGCTGAAGTGTGCAGTTTCTTAATATTTAGTGCCAAGCTTTGGACTTTAATGAAATAATTGTACTAAGAAAAAAAATCATGCAAGTGTTACCAATGACTCTTTATGGCGTGCCGCTGTTTGATTATGCATTTTGAGGATGAATTACTGATATGATATTTCGTTTGAATCATTTTTATATGCTTATAGTTGGGCCCGTGCTTGAGATCAACTGTGTGACTGATATTGTTATTTATCAATCTCAATCAACCTTATTTTACTGTTCAATTATCTATTCTCAAAGTTTAAATTTTCAAAGCTTACGAGGAGAAGCCGTGGATTCGGTTTTGTGATAATGTCCACAATTGAGGAAGTCAAAACAACTACTCAACAATCCAATGGCTATGTGAGCATCATTAGTTTGGTCCCATTATTCCAAAATTTTGTTTATTTTCTAAGGTTTCACCTGCTGTGTTTTTTTGTATTTCGCCACAAGAATATGACCCCAAAATTTAACAATGTTTCTTTCAGGGTGTATTATCATGCCACAATGCTTAAACTTTTACATTAGCTTTTGAAAATTTGAAAACCGTGTTACTTTACATTGTGCAAGTCGGCTCATTAGATTTTACAATACAAGTGCAGTGCAGCCTACTTGTGGAAATTGGATATAACTCGGTGTTTGTTTTTGTTTGACTTAGAATCTTGACAAACTGATCCATCTTTTAGATATTAAAAAATAATGTAAGTTTTTTAGCATTAGTTTCCTATACTATTTGAATATATGCCGATATAAGCATGCTGGTACCATATTTTTTTAACTTTTACGAAATATGCAAGTGAATTATCATCCTTGTTCTGTTTTATGTATTATAGGAAATTAACGGTGGTAGTAGACGGGTGTAAAATTAGACGATATTTGTTACATCTAAGCACTCAAGTAAATTGGTTATGTTTCAAGTGTACCATTAATAAGATGATGATTCAGATTGCAATTTTACTATCCAATTACTAATAATCATAAAAATTATAAATAATGTGAACGACAAAATCATAAATAAATAATAAATAATAAATTATAAATAATTATTTATAATAATTATTTTTATAAATAATCATAAAAATTATAAAATTATAAACTTAAGGACTAACCGACAAAAGATCTTAATAATTTCCTTGGACCCTAATCTACCCGACCCCAAATCACATATACAGAGCTCATGTTCTGTTACTAGGTCTCATCGGCTTTTATTTCTCCGGTCAACTGTGGTTCTGCGGTTGAATTCGGTGGAGAGGAAAGATGGCGGGAATGGGAGATGGGTATGTGGGCACAGCCCAAGACGCTGTGAGAATCCGAAGGCTCGAGAAGCAGAGAGAAGCTGAGAGGAAAAAGATTCAAGAGCTCAAGAACAAGACCGCCTCCTCTGAAGGCCAGCCCGGTCTTCTCCAGTTCGGTTCCGGTACATCGGAGGTTCGTATATTACATATTTACGAAAATCAAATACTATGGATTCATTCAAACTATAGGGGTTTTCAAAGATTTTATACCCATTTTTCGAATTGCCCTAATCTAGGGTTTTCGCATCGTTCGTATGCTTATTTCTATATTCATGGTTGCTTAGAATATATGGAGAAAGAAGAGTTAAAGGAATTTCGAACGACTTTAGTAACGTTGGTTTGCCATTTAGAGGTGGATAAATCGACGATCAGGCATTATTGCGAAGCTTTTTGTTTCTATGGGGGATTTTACATTGTTTTTGGTTATCATTCTTCTAAGTTTGATTGTCTTGATGTATTTGTTCAGATTCTTGAGACTGCGTTTAAGAAGGAAACTGTTGGTCTGGTCACTAGGGAGCAATATGTTGAGAAGGTAACTGATTTTTATGCGGATAACCTTTTGGATTAGTTGTACACCAATTGTAATATGGAGTGGTTGATTAAAGCTTTTTCATGGTACTTGTTTTTACACTAGAGGGTCAATATCCGGAGCAAAATTGAGGAAGAAGAGAAGGAAAAGCTTCAGAAGCTGCAACAAGAGTGAGTAAATCTCAGGGGCATTTGTTAAATTCGCAATTTTGATTGGTATGTTGTGGTCTTGAGGGCTTTTCTTGTTTGTTTTCCTTTCTTGATTTTGTTCATTCTTTGTTGTACTTTAGGGAGGAGGAGCTTCAATTACAAAAGCTTAAGAAGCGGAAAATAAAGGGGAACTCCCGATTATCTTTTTCTGATGATTTTGAGGATGGAAATGAAGAGGAAGATGAGGAAAACAGTATGCCTATTTTCTGTAATTTAAACTGGAACTTTCGCTGTTACCCTTTAAGATTGTGGACATCATTATGAGATATTTTTCTTTGCTATTCTTATTGGTGCCACTCTCAGCATTGATGATGCCCATAACATAATGGATATGCAGTGAATTTTGAGCCTTCGTCCCATTACATTGCTATGTTAAAGACATGCTTTCAATAGGATCCACAAAACAACTGTGTATGGCCACAAAGATGAAACTCATAGTTTTTGTGTTGCTTCATGGTAGTGCAGAGAATTCATCAATATATAGTTTATTGTTTAAACAGCAAGGTTTTGGAGTTTGTGATTCAGAAATTTTGCCCAGCTTCTCGTTTTTCCCATACTAATATATCAGCTATCCTTGTGTTTCTGTAGAAAACACAGACATGAACAGGTTTGGATGCCGGAAATTTGGCAAAGATCCTACAGTGGAAACTAGCTTTTTGCCTGACAGGTGTGGCACCTTTCCTTCTCTCCCTCCTCTCTCTCTATCTGTCTATATCTGTGCCTTTTGGCTTAGTACTCATTCTTGGCTTTGCCTTTGGAGGGTGAAGCCTACTCTTACAGTGAGAGGGAGGCCGAGGAACAAGCTGAGCGCGAAAGGTTGCGGAAACAGTGGCTTCGAGAACAGGAACAGATCAAAAGTAATTTTGCAGTCTAAGCTGCTACCACATGTAAATGTGTGTAAGAAATATTTGTCCTGAATCCAAATTTTGCTATAATTTCTCAGATGAGCCACTTCAAATCACTTACAGCTACTGGGATGGAGCAGGCCATAGGCGAGTGCTCCAGGTAAATGACCTACTTGTTTGTTGCATCTGCTCTCTTTGTGTGTGTGTGTGTGCAAGTTGTTTAATCTATTGTAATAACCTTTTGTCCTGGCTTTCTGCCGGTTTACTTTCTCAGGTTAGGAAAGGTGATTCCATTGGAGAGTTTCTTCGGTCTGTTCAGCAGCAACTCGCACCTGAGTTTCGTGAGATTCGGACTACTTCAGTGGAGAATCTGCTTTATGTGAAAGAAGATCTCATTATTCCTCATGTAAGATCCTGTGCAAGTCCTCTTTAATTACATTTTTAAAATTCATAATGGTGAATGTGAGTTAACTTGTATGCTTACCTTTGTTTTTTTTGGTTAATGAACACTCAGCAACACAGTTTTTATGAGCTGATTGTTAACAAGGCCAGGGGGAAAAGTGGACCGGTAATGTTCAAACTTTTTGGCTTTTTGTAGTTTGTACGGAATGCACATTAGTTTCTTTATTTCTTTCCTAGTTTTTGAGATACTGAAATCCAATTATTCGTTCTCTTTTCCCACTTTGTCTGGAACAATTTGCTGCATAAAATAGAAGGTTCTCTGAATAGTCTGATTCGGTTTGTAGTCTAGAGTCTAATCATATCTAATTTTTTGCAAATTTTGGAGGCATAGTCGGCTTCTTTTTTTATGTGTCTCTGTGTCATACATGAGATTATGTCTTGTATTTTTTTGACAAGGTCGGTGAGAAATCAGAATTGAAGACTGCTTTCGCAACTTCGTGATGGGTGGCCTGTATTAATGATAAATCACTTGACAACTATCCTCAAATATGAAGAAAGCTCTAACTATCCTGAAATATTGAACCTTAAAGAAAAATATGTTTTTCTGTTACCCTTCCCTCCCTTGCTACCTCCATCTCTGTCTCACTCACTCATACACTCACATACATTCACACATCCAACATGTACGGTTTGGCTTTATTAAAAGCTTTTGAATTCCCATCAGTGCCATGCAGTTCCATAGGAATTTCTTTCATCTTGTATTAGTTTGTCTTCGACTTTTCCTTAACATTATTAAAGTTTTTGTTAAAGATATCCTTATTACATATTTTCATATGTTGTTTTCCTCTCTTTAGTGTCTGAAAGAATTGTCAATCAAAAGGGGGACCCCAAGTAGGCAAATTACGTGAATACTCTTAAAGTTGTAAGAACACGGGATGTTTAATCAACATGTTTCATGTTAGCAACATTATACAAGTTTTATTTATGCATTAGTTGAATTTTGCACTGGCCGTTTCAGTCATTGGTGAATATATTGTTCTATCTTGCACAGCTTTTCCACTTTGATGTACATGAGGATGTGCGCACAATTGCCGATGCAACAATAGAGAAGGATGAGGTATGACACATCTAATTTGATTGTCTTATTCCAGAATCCTGCATAGCTGTGTAGGAGTTATTTGGTCTGATGCAAATGACTAAAGACCAGATTCAAGTTTCAAACAGTCAAACATGACTGTTCTAGGCGGGGTGGGTCACCCACCTTCGAATGGTGTTGGTCCCACGGACCGTGAATGGATTTGCCTCTGGGCATGTTGGAACTGCATGAGTTCACCGGGGTGGAGCACGGTCCGCCAAAATTGGCATAGGTTAGGTGCTATTGATGGAACATAGCCTATTAGCAAGGTTGATGTTATATAAATGACACTTTCTGTTCATTTATTTGAACCCCACATGAAGTTTGTTTCAAGTGATCTTATACTTAAGTTTGTTTCAAGTGATCTTATACTTAATACTGATGTGGCATTTCAAGAAATAAGGTGCTTTGGAGTGTGGCCGCGCATATGCACATGCACGAGCACATGAATTATGTATTTGTCAGAGTTCTGAAATTGGGATTGAACTGGATATTCATCTTGTTTCCTATTTTCAAAACAGTCACATGCTGGGAAGGTTGTTGAGAGGCATTGGTATGAAAAGAACAAGCATATCTTTCCTGCTTCAAGATGGGAGGTACTTCTCTTCTTCCCCCCCACCCCCTTCTGCTCCCTGTGTGTGTGTGTGCATATGCGCACTAATGCACTTGGTTAACTTTAACATACGGAATTTTTACCTGGTCCCCAAGAGTAGCTGAAGTCTGAAAGGTCTTGTACATTTTTGGTCTTGTAAATTGGCATGCCTGGAAGTGGCCCAGTAGAATAAATCCTAACTGTTTTGGGTTCACTTGACCGGGCCGCCAGATCCAAGGATTTCTAGATTGCCTTTACTTGGGGGTGACAGGCATATGGGTTAAGTATGTAGACGTCACGGCAGAGGCATTTTGTGGTACCTAATAGTATTCTTTTTTCTCATGCGACTTGTACTCAGTTTTTTTCCCATCAATTAATGCAGATATATGATCCGACAAAAAAGTGGGAGCGATATACAATCCATGGCGATTGATTGATCAAAAGCACATATCACATCCTGTTGTTATTTTGATTAGCTGAAGCCTATTACGTTTGCATCTACTGTGGTTGAGATATGCATTTCTATAAGCTTTCAATGCTTGTTTTTAGATGGAGAACTTTGCTACTGTGGTTGAGATATGTATTTCCATAAGCTTTCTATGCTTGTTTTTAGATGGAGAACTTTAGGGGTCTGATTTATGTTTAGTTTGTAGCTGTTGTGAATTTCTTCCATATTTTCATCTGCCTGTATGATTTATTATTATCAGGCAACAAAAGTTTTTGGGGCTATGCCACTCCAATGCAATGAAAAATTCGAGGCATTATGAAGTTGGGAATGGTGCATCAGCCCGTTTATTCTGTTTTTTTGGGTTATTTGTTCAGTTTTATGGGTTCTACTAGTATATATATATATATATATATATATATATATATAATTTTTTTTTTAAGTCCGCTCCACACCATAGCAGATCGATAATGTTATACTTTCTAATTAAACGACGGTTAGATTAGTGGGTCTCATTAGAAGGTTAATAGGATATATTCATTCAATCATCCACTATGATTATAATGATTTTTTTGGGATATAAATTATGGGGAATATTGAGATTTGTATCTTAGTTCAACCAAGACCGTTTTGCATCTTATTTGAACTTTTATAAAAGCTTATTAGTTATTGGTTGACTTCATTTAAATTACGAAAATGTTCTACTTGTTCGAACATTGTTATGACTTCCTGTTATCCACAAAAACAAGGCAAAGTACTATTACAGCAAACATTTTGAAGAAAAACTTTATTTAATTCAAATACTTTAAAAGAGTAAACTTAAATTTAAATGAGTGTGAAAAATAATTATTAGATTGTCAAAAAATACTTTAAAATTTGATAATTGAAGATTTGAATTTGTCTCACTTGATTTGAAAATTATGTTTTCTTTTATTTGGTATGAATTGAGTAAAATATTTAATTTTTTTTATTCAAATTTAAATCTATAATAATTAGATATACTCCAACAATTTAAATTTAATTTAAAGTAGATTTAAACCTTTCTAATTTAATATCATATTTACAGGTTGCTACATATTTTTACATCCTACTAACCACGTTGTTAGGGTCAAATTTCATCGTTGCTATTTTGCATAGACCCGTGCCCAAAGAGAGTACGTTCTTGACCCGCCCGCCCACGAAGCATCTGAGATCAGCCCTCTTTGCGTTTGTGTCTCGTCCACGCGTTTATTACCCGTTACATGTCGCCTAAAAATGAACACAACCAAACAAAACTGTAATAACGCAAAAACAAAAAACCCTAACCTCCTCCGTCTTCACTCATCAATCTCTCTCCGGTTGGTCTGGGCGCTCTCTTGCAACAATGAAGATTAGGGTTTTCTTTGTTCTATCTCTCCTCCTCTTTGCCTCTCCTTTTCTCCAAGGTTCGTATCTCCGATCTAGATCAATTTCTATGCCCTCGCTTGCTGCTTCTTCTTTTTTTTTTTTTTCGATCAACGAATATACAGAGAGAGTCACGTAGTCTTTGTTTAAGGGTTTGTTGCTAGAATTTTCGAGCTTCTTTTGTGTGCCGATGATCTTGATCTATTGGAATGAAATCCCATTTTATTATGTGTCATTCGATTGAATATGTATCTGAATTTCTTTGCAAATTGGTGGGTAATTCGTTTAAATTTTCCTTATAAGGAATCGATTCTTAATTTTATTTTTATTACTTGGTGGTGAATTTGTGTTGTGTGTTCTCATAATTGGTGTTCATTCATGTTTAGTGGGTTTGATATATCAAATTCAGCTGTATTGGTATTGGAGACAATGGTGGCTGTTGTGCATCACTGGTTGACTGCATGATGGGCTCTCTAAAAGTAGTGATTTTGCCTTTAATAGTAAAGTCAACCACTATTTTGGGCTGGTAGAAAGGGGTATTTTATGTGCAATACAATGTGCTTTTTGTTGTTAGTCCGATCTTTGATATAACTGTAGTTGGTTGCTTCAATTACTTTGATTCAGTTTTCGACTTGTGTTCTTGCTAGTTGTCATTGCTGTTACTTGTCACTTGAAATTTTGAGATGATATTATTGGAATACTGTGTGAATTCTCTAGCTGTTTTATTGCATTGAAGTGTTAATCAGGTGTCATGATCTTAGTGTGTGCTGTGCGGCTTAAGTATGAACTTAATGTTGTATTGTTGGATAGTTGCTAGGTGTCAATCAGAATCGGACACTGAAGTTGCTGAAGCTTCTGAAGAAGGAGGTGATCTCGGAATTGTTGGTGAAGATGTCCAGGATATTGATGGTGGCAGTTTTAGTCCAGCTCCAGGAGTTGAAACAGTTTGTGTTTTCCCCAAGAATCCTACAAGAAGTTGGGACCCTTTTTTTTTATTTTGTTATTCCATTGCTTTTTAATTTCAATTTTTTACCTTTGGAAAATTTTGTACTCATTCTTTAGTTTTGTATCCTTTTTTTTGCAGTACTGACAGCAGGAGAAGAATCTGAACTTTTAGTTGGAATGAAAAACGAGGGTAATGTTTTGTTATTGTTATAATGTATTTATTGGTATCCAGTGTTTTATTAAAGGATAAGTTGCCTTGTTGGTACTGATTTATTGGTTTAACTCTGTTTGATACACCTATTCCTATGAAAACTGCAAGATTGATTCTTATTGTGTTACCAATTTATTGACTGTCATCGTTTCTCACGTCCTACATGTCAAGTGTTATATTGGAGTAGAGAGTTGAATTAACTGAGTTGATCTAAATCGTGACATTTTGGGTGATAAAAACAGGGGAATCCAGTATTAATATCCTCGCAATTCATGCCAGTGTTCATCTTCCTTATGATCAGCATTACTTGATTCAAAATCTTTCCACCCAGGTAATTATTTAAGAATCGTGGATATTTAGCTTTTCCTTTACCTATTTCTTGGTCATTTATGCAATTGTTTTTGAGGTTGTGCTGTTGCTTCGCATTCCTTATTAGTAGATCGACAGCAACACACAAAATCTTTGTAGGCATTGCATTCAGCTACTATATGGTATGGTTTAAACATTTTGGTGCTCATGAGCAATGATAGTGACGTAATTCTCCATGTCAACTGTTTTGATTCGTAACTTCTATAAAGATTTCATTACATGCATTAAATTTCTTTTTGTTTTGTTTAATGCAAGTTCAACCTCCAAGGTATTTAGTTTTCAACAATTGGCAGAACTAACATAATTGATTCTTACAATATTATTCTTTGCTTCTAAATATTTCCTTATACACGATCTGTGGCGTCTCTGTAATCAGCACGGATTTGTAGAAATGTAATACAAAATACTGACTAGTTAAAATCCAAATGTGTTATGATCAAAGTGTCAAGCACCAAATACCTAAGTCCATACATGCTTTATTCCAAAAAATTCATACATGTTATGGTGATACAAAATTCAATCTGAACAGAATGCATCTCTTCACGTATTACCATGAATAATACCTAGAACCTTGAAGTATAGGGAGCTAACACCGAGTTATCTGCCACTACCAGTTGGCATTTCTTCCAATGTCTCCAAAAATTGCTGCTTGGGTAGAATCTCTGAATACATCCAGATGGGACAGGAATAGGTTTTTTGTACAGTCATTGTTGATATTTATGTGCCTTGATTCAGATGATATGAAGGCACATACAAAGAAGTGTCTTTCTCATATAAGTATCAACCTAGGAAGCACGGATACGGATAAGGGTGTCGTATCCGATATGATACGGATACGGGGATACGGCAAAATTCTAAAATATAGGACATGGATACGGCAAGGATACGGCTAATTAAAATAATATAATATATTTTTTTATATATAATAATATTAATAATAAAATTGAGTAATTAATTAATATTTTATAATTGGACAAATGGGCTAATATTAAATTTGATTAGTGGGCTAATATGTTATGGACAGTGAGCTAAACCAAATTGGGTAGTGGCCCTATCAACAGGTGTACTTCCTGTTGATTCTTGCAGCTAGACACTTTTTTATTTTGTTCTAATTCTCACATTCTCTACTTGCGTAATTCTGGAAAACTGGCTTTATATTCATTATTATAATGGTAGGTTTTAGGTTGTGAGACACCGTTGCTTTGTTTCTTAGTCGTGCATGCTTCATCTCTAGACACATTTATATATTTTTTTTAAAAGAGGAGTGTAGACTACACTTACTTTTTTTGATATTCAGATTTCTCTGTTTGCTATATTATATTATCTGATCTACAACCTAAAAAAATTCCGCATTATGGGCATAATCATAACTGTCCTCTCCCTTTTCGCATTACATTTATTTTCAATGTTTCTTTTTCAGTATGCTGCTGCTATTATTATTTTCAGTTATCATTATTATTAGTACTTGGATCTATTAGACTGTTACTAATGTGCATGGTTGCATTTTTTAGGCTTTTAACAATGCATCAGTTCCTCCTTCAGCTCAGGCTACTTTTCCATACATATTTGCTGTCAGCAAATTTATGCAGGTAACATTCATTATGTGGAACTTCATGCATACTGTATTAATTTCTTTGGCCTGATGATTTGTTTTCCTGCTACTTCCACATGCTCAGAATCATTACTTGAGCTCAAACACTTGCTGTAATTTGTCTTCTTGCAGCCTGGAACATTTGATCTTGTGGCTACTGTTGTTTATGAGATAGATCAGCACCCATATCAGAGTACATTTTACAATGGTACCATTGAAGTTGTTGAAGCTGGTGGCTTTCTCAGTGTTGAGTCTGTTTTCTTGTTTTTCCTTGGACTCGGTCTTCTTGGGCTTCTTGGATTGTGGATACGTGGTCAGATACAACACCTTTCCAAGGTATTTATATACCTCTGTCATATGTATGCTAGAAGAAATATTTGAGATACTCTCCACCTGTTTTGGCTGGTTTACTTTGGAAAACTTAATCTAAAATTATCCTCGGGAAGAATAAATCCGTGAGTTTTTAAATATTCACTCTTTAAAAGACTTATTTTTTGCAAAGTTTTATTGTTTAATTTTCTGACAATATAGTGGTGATGGAGATTATGGAAATTCTCCCTTGCATGCAGATCTTGCTCTGTGTGTGTGTGTGTGTGTGTTTTTTTTTTTTTTTGGGGGGGGGGGGAGTTGGTTGTCTGTGTGCATGCTGTTGCATATTTCCAGCTTTTCTCCTTCAAATGAAGTCTATATTCTTGTTCTAGTAATGGGACCTATAAATGACTCAATTGTCAACCCTCTTGATGACTATATTTGTTTTTCAGTTATTTGCTCTCTTTTTTGTCCTTTTAGTGAATTGCTCATGACATTTTTCTTTTATGCGTTTGAATATATATTTTCATACTAGAAAACTAAGAGGGCAACAAAGGTGGAAGTTGGAACTGGGACGACTGATGCCTCGATGGATGAATGGCTTCAGGTGTGTAGTACAAGCGTTGGTCCACTAATCTTATGTCCATATGTTGTTCTCCTTATCGTTTTCATTTCACCTAGTTTTTGTAACTTTCTGCCTTTTTTTTTTAAACCTTTGGGGAGTTTGTTTGGGGTGAAATATTTATTTTTCTAGTATTTCTATTGGGATAGGTCTGCGTGATATTTTAATTTGCATTTAACTACCACAGATTATTTCCGAAGGAGAATGGTGGCTGGTTAACATGATTTTCTTTCTCTTTTCTTTTATATTGCTTTATGACAGGGAACTGCTTACACACAGTCATTGTCCAGCAAATCAAAGAAAAAGAAGTAGATAAATGTGCTTAAATAGTTGGGCGGCACGGAGCACTATAAAGAGATGCAGATTCTTGTTAGGCGGAGTAGTCATTTGATGAGTTCAAGAACACCCAAAAACGTGCAGTAGTTTTTGGAAAACTAGACTTGTAACAACTGCTTCACTGTTGTATTGTGAGCAAAATTTTGGGAAAGGAAATCACAGGAGAATCACCTGACTGTGAGAAGACATTATCATGAACTTTATAATTCAAGTGAGTTCTCAGTTTGTGTTGTGTGGTGGTTGAGCTTTTCTTTTTCTCCCCTAGTTATTTGGTAACCAGTTTCTGGCTGAATAGTTTCAACTTTCTTTTGATAGTAATTCTGTGCTAATGCTGTACTAGTAATTCTTCACTTGCTTGTATTAGGTTATGCTGTTGTTGTCTAGGAGAGGCTCAATGCAAACAAGGACTTGAAAGCAAAAACTCTATATTAGGTCCTTTTTTACTGCACTTTTAACTGCATTTAACCATAATATCCTTTAACCACTTAAAACGACAATATCTCCTCACTCTCATCTTTCCCTCCCTAACTTACTCCTTTACAGTTATATGCATATGGGTAGTCGTGTGCACTGTCTTTTTATGTTTTAACAGTTAGTGCCCTCTGTCTTAGATATAACGTATTATATAAAAAAGGCAATCCAGTGCACGGAGTTTTTGCCTGTGCGGGTATGTGCATTCTTTGATATAGCCCTTGTTTCGAAATGTGTATAATCTTTTGTTACTCAATGTGATGCTGGGAAATATGGTTGATTTTACATGATTTCTGTGTGATGTTTCTATCACTTGAATTGGACGGCCATGTGATTTAGACCAGGTGGATCCAATTGTTGTGAATTATCTCAATCACGTATTCTTTATTCATTTGATTAGGTTGAAATTTTGAATGCAGTAATCACTGGAAATCACATCACGTGCATTGGTTAAAGCAGTCAATGAGATTCGAACTTTAAACGTGCTGATTTATGTCCTGTTCTATTTGCAGCCACCAAGTTAAGCCTTTAATACCACCATTCGGTTTGGGCATGGTTATCTAGTACAAACCATTGTCCCTTTGACGGCAGCGAGTAATACCTTCTGTGGTACTAATAAACTCTCCCAGTTTGTCATCATTTTTCCCGATTGACAAAGGATTGTGGCGAAATTTAAAACCCCGATGCCCATTTCTCAGCATGAATTCTCTCTTTTCCCAAATTATTAAATTTGGACAACATTCGTACACTTGTGAGTTTGATGATTTGCCTTCAGAATAAGACTGTCCTTCTGCCTTGGCATTGAACCTAACTTGTCGGACTCTCACTTCACCAAATCTAAATCTTTCTCCTATGGAAGATTACAATCTGTATGCAAAAAAGAAAACTTCATCATGTACAAGGGGAAGTAAAAATAGCAAGTTCTCAAGATGAAGATTGAATATGAGCGTACAAGCATGTTGAGCACTGGAGTACTGTCACCATCTTTTATGTGGATGGTCAAGTGGAAATAAACCATCACCCACTAAGGCTGCTTCATTAATGTTTGTCTTCTTGTGGGGTGTGTGTGTGGGTGGGTGTGTGGCCCTTCATTATCTTAATCCCTCAATTGAAACACATTTAAGGGACATCTCCATTTAGCAAGTTTTGGACTATGACCAATCTTTGCTAATCCGTAGTATGGTAGCAGCCGACAATTCTATTAAAAAAAAAAGGTGTATGTCATCTATTTATGCCTGGCCATTTCACAATGATGAGTCTCGTACTCGTGAGAAAACATTTAGTGTAACATTAATAACACATCATAAGTGACACGTGATAATACCGTACAATAAAGAGGTTCCATATGTATAAATATATATACATATTTGTGTTGTATCATAGTTATTTGTGTCGTGTATTCGTATCAAGAATCAAAAAAAAAATCTATTTAGTGTGTCATAAATATTAATCTAGACTATTTATTTAATAATCATGTCAATTTTATAATTGTACTTGTCGGGTTGGTATCAATGTGTTAGAGTTGACAACTCTTACAATTAGGATGGTTATAAATCACAATCCATTCTAAATGGTGATTTCTATTTCACCATTTAGTAGTAAACTTTAAACCAAATCAGTAGAGAAAAATGTCCATGTCTTTTGATTTGACTCTGTATTTTGAGAACGAAGGACAGCCCGAAAGGTTGTTCTCGGTGCCTGGACCTGACTTGGATTTGAGTCTCACCAAAGTTTCAGGGACGGGAGCTTCCTGCATTTGACCACCCTATGTTTAACTAGTTGGAATCTCTTCTGGCTTTCAAATCCTACGCGCTCACACGCACACACACACACACACAGATGCACCGATGGCATTTTGCAATGGCCTACAAGTATGCAGTTATCACAGCCTGGTGCCCGGACCATGAAGAAACTTACGTTAGACAACTGAAAGTTGATTTCACGTGGAGTTTGGGATGAGCTCTCAATCACCTTAAATGTCATAAATAGGTCGTGTACGAGACTCCCGGTCATAATCTTACCTGTCTGTTGTGTTATCGAACATGTACACATTTCCTTTTAAGCTTCCAACTGCATTTGAAAACAAAGCTTAATAATGTAAGGTGGAATGCCATTTTGCAATGCTGCCAAAACCAAGACATTTCAAAAATTTAAACCTTACCTGATAAAGCTTGTCATTTATGAGAGCTTGCAAGTAGGTTTACAGATGGAGAAAACACAAAAAAAAAAAAAAAAAGACTAGTTGTACAGCACAAAAGCTCATTCAATGAAGATAATGGCCTTTGATCAGTTTTGCCGGTGAGAACAATGGGTCTTAACTTAACCTCATGTGAGGTCCTTTAGAACCTGTCGGTGAGAATCATAAAACCATTTTTTTCTCAAGATCATTATGTATAACAAGGTGTTTGTGATAAGTCTCATTGAAGACTTGAGAGAAAATTTGCAGAAGCTAATAGCTTAGCAGCTTTAAGTTCCTCTCATTTTGCTCTGTCTCGTATAAGCAGTACTGCTCTGGGGCCTTGAGGGGTTTCCCAATGTGGGTTCATCTCCTTTGTAGAGGAGCTCTTCTGAGCTTCTGGATGTACTTGTTTTTTTTACTGTGAGCTTCTTCTGCCATGTTGATGACAAGACCGTAGAGGTAGTTGGGATAAGAGAATGTGCAGATTGCACGGACAGCAATATTAAGACTAGTCACTCCTTTTCAGGTACATTCTTTTGAATATTGCAATCCAATAAAATTAGGTTACCACACGATATAATGATATGAGAATGTCCCCCATCCCAATTTTGAGCTGGGGAGGGTTGAAACATTATTTGCTTGATTGGGACTTTAAAAGTTCGATCGATCGATTGAGAGAGAGATTTTATGCATGGGCATCTGCATTTAGCTGATCATCAACGGCGACTCAGAACAATTTGAGACCTAAAACAATTATTATAAATGAGATTTTTTTTTTTAATATTAATAAATTTTTATTTTAATTTTTTTTAAGACTAAAAGTAGTCTAATTTTTATTGTGATAATCGATCATAGGAAAGATTTTATTAATTTTAATTTTAAACAATCATAATCTATTGATTTTAATTTTTTTAGTTTAATAAAAAAATATTATGGTTTATTTTTCGTAATACAAATAAAATAAAATTCCTAACACAAAAAAAGAAGAAGAGAATTTGTATTTACTAGGACTTAGTTTATTAGAGAGAGAGAGAATGATTATAAATGAATGGTGTGTTTTGGTTGAATAGTTAAAATTATTTTTTTAACCTTTAGCTTTTTCTAAAAAAATTATTTTAGTATATTTTTAATAATATGAGTTGGGTTCATGAGCCCAAATTACTTAAATTTATTTTTGATTAAATTTAAATTTTCATAAGACTTTTTTTAAGGCCTAAAATCTTATGAATTTTTTGATTTGGACTAACTATGCATCTAAAAAATTTAGGGCTTTCTTAAAATATGGGGCCTAAAGCTCAGACTTTGTTAGGCTTGTGATAGAGTTCCCCGTCTTATTGCATGATAATTGAAGAGTCCTTTGAAAATTGATATACCAAATTAGACATAATTGTAAAAAAATATATATATATATAAATATTTTGAAAAAAAATACACTACTGAGATACAAAGACGTAAATACCAATTTTGTAAAATTTTCTTTCCTAAAAACTGTAACAATGCATTTATCTTAACCGCTGAAATTTAGATACATTTATTTCAAAATCTCTTCGTCTTCGGTAATCGTTATGTGTATTCCTTCTTCCTCACAAAAAACTAGTTCATCTTCTTTGGAGAAATTTCCTAATTCTCTATCTTGCATAAACAATGAGAGGGTTTTGACTGTGAAATGTACATCGATTGACAAATGATTTGGGGTTTGGTTGACACAAACTTAAGAATGATGAAAGTTTTGTTCGCGATTTGAAGAAACTTTCGAAGTTCAGCATTTGTAAACCTGAACAGGCGTTGATTGTTGCTCGTTGGCATGCATTTAATAAAGTAATTGTTGAACTTCACCATTTTATGTATTTTTTGTATTGACATCATGAGTTATCCAAAATTAAAATATTATTTCATCTATTTTGATTTTGGAGTTTTTTTGGCAGAAATTTCTTATTTCCTGAACATTTATAAGGTTTTGTTTTTGAAAGAAAAATTATACTGTTTAGCCCATTTGATGTAAGATCGGCAAAAACATCTATTTTTTGAAGATTTGGTCACCATTTAAAGATACGTACGGACTTCGGCATTTGAAGACTAAAACCAGTTGTTGAAAGTTAATCGTTGGCTCGTGTGAAATACGATGTTTCTGCCATATCAATTCATTGTGTGTGAATAAACTGTGTGTATCTCTTAACTGTTGACTGTGTTTCTCTCATAGCATAACAAAGACTGTGTAACAATACACTGTAACAAAGACAATGCTTGATGGTTTTGTGAATGTGGTAACAAATTCAAAACAGAGATGAACTGTTTGAATGAAATTATATGTAAATATATGTTTGATAAAATGTAATAGTACAATATTTTTGTATAAGTGTTTTATTACACTATTATTGTTATACTAATATGATGTTCGCATATTAAAAAACAGATTAAACACTTTTAAAATAACAAAAGATATTGTTGAAAAAATTTAAAATTCAAATAAATTGATTTATCCTCACAATAAATGGAAGAATCAAAGAATCAAATCTTTCATTAAATTATAATATTTTTTAATGCATACATTTATCCTAAAAAAAATGGAAGGATCAAATCTTCCATTAAATTAGGAAGAATTAAAGAATCAAATCTTTCATTAAATTAGAAGATTTTTAATGCATAAATTTATTCTAAAAAAACGGAAGGATCAAATCTTCCATTAAATTATGAGATTTTTAAGGCATACATATAATCTGAAACAAAAAATCAATTTCCAAAAATAAATCGCATGAATTAACGGAGCACAAATGTCAAAGAAAAATTTAAAAAATTCAAATTATGTACCAGGTTTCAAATTTGAAAATCAATAAAATGATATATC